CGAGGGTAAAATTAGAAGGATATGGGCAAACCAGGATGCAGCCAGAATCGTGATCCTCGTCAATCTCGTTGGCAGGGTATGGTTTCTTTAAGACATTATAATCTACCAGCTATTAGGTCTATTAACTTAAAACAATACTTATATAAAGTTAGTTTTGGTAACATATTAATTATTTATATAATTATCTTAAATACGCTTTTTAGCATATTTAATAATGATTACATTTAATATATAGAGAGCTTTAGGCCTATTTTCTAAGCAATATAAAGACTGCCTCAGTATCGATTGTATAGATTAGAAAATCCTAAATAATGCAGATGTGTTAGATAACTCGGCCAAGAGAGCCTTCATTGGTCACTCTCTTCACGTCTCAGAGGATTGTGCGATATTCTTCGGGCCGAGTCTCGTTTGAATGGATTCTGCAATGCCCCTAATTCCATCTACCATAAGGCCAGATTGGCGCAACGAGAGCTCGGTTGTTCCGGACCAAGTTCCCTTATCAGCTTGGCTAATCTTCTTGGACTGTATTATTTTGAACTCTGAATGGTATTTGGGTTTCTTATGTACCCTGCAAACAAGGGGCTGACCCATATTCCCGCATCCTGGTTGCATGTAAAGGAACCAGAGTATTGATGGCAATTTATTTTAGACATTAGAAGACTTGTCATGTCATCCCACGGGAGTTAACGTATATATTCCTCGGTTTCGTTGTAACAGAGCTCGTTGCGAGATGCTTGGCATTTAGACAAAAGCCCCCAGTCGACTAGAACACCAACTTCACAGAACAGGTTCCATTTTAGGAATGAATTACATTACCGGGACTGGTCTAAAGGGTACAATTTATTAGATGTTATGGACTGGAACCGCTAATATTTCGTAGGCAGAGTCTTAACTTCAAAGCAAACTAGTTTCCTGAAACGCCTCACAATGTTCGCCGCGTTTTGGGATGCTGGAAATCCTCCCATCACTTCTTCGGCCCTTTTCTGAGAAACCTGTAGCACTGACGGAGAATCTTGAAAAATGGCCTCGTACTATGAGACAATTGCCATACCTCTCCCCAATACATTGTATACTGTACGTATTTCCCGTTGTCTCCATGTGCGATCTACAAGCAAGGAGGTCGGCTGAACTCCTCCAATTCTGCCGTCTTCTTGCCCAATGATAGGCCATCCTCTAAAACTGGCGTGAAGTGATCAACACTGGGATGCAGCTAAAATCGGCACTTCCCAGCTCAAGACGCTGGCCCCAAGCGCCATGTTGTGGGGTACCGCAGATCCTGTCTTGGATGCCGTCCAACATTGACAATCCTTACGTCAATATTGCTCAGGCTCGCTGACGCCAAACTAATGGATGGAAACACCGAATTGGGTTTTCCAATATTTCAGCTCGTTCAGCTCAAGCCTCTTCGGGATTCGTCTGACCAACGAGGAACGAGAAGCGAAGACGATGACATATACGATCTTCGGTGTAGGCCCATGTAGCCCAGTTTATGGCTCCCGATGCTGATCTCGGGCCGCGCTTTGGGCTTCGTCGAAAGTCGACAGCCAAAAGTCGATTAGTGCTCACGCGAGCAAATACTTTACTTGACGTTGTGCCCATCTTATATTGAGCTTGGACATCATTTCATGTTTCTTTACATCACCAGCTACTATGAGATACAACAACGTCATCAAGCCAAACCTACCAAATAATGATAGGGGTCTTTATTATGATAGCCTTCTTTCCAAATGGCAGCCTGGCTCCCTAGATCCATTGTCACCAGTATATGCAAGGTCTCGAAGCGAGCGAGCCAGAGCACCAACACCCATTGAGCATAACGGCCATATATATGACCTAGTTGGTGTGAACTCTCACCAACAGCTCATTCTACGAGATCAATGTGCTTTACACTTGGACATTCGCATCGAATGTTTTGCTGGCCGTGCCGCCATCTTGGACGGCGTGACATGGCAAGTCGATTACCTTGAGGCTATTCCCGATCCCCTTGACTTCACCAGACCTCCCCGGCTTGTCCTTCATCTCAAGCGATGGACGGGAAAGGGTCAAATACAAAAAGCCATTGATGAACCAGATAATCTTCGGGCAATCTTTCCAGGCTCAAGAGGGAAACATACGTTGGGCCCGATTAAGCATGGCATTGTACGCATGATCCCAACCGCATCTCGACAGAGAATTCACAAGCCATTACTAGCTGGGACAACTTTCGAAGCTCGGTTACGAGGTCGTGAGCTATATGGCCCGTTGCAGATCGAGGTTAAGAAAGACGGCCAGCTAGTAGCCAAGCACGCTCTAGACGGATTGTGTCTTATCAAATTCGCCATTGAGCCCCATGAGATCGCGCCGTCACATGTGAGGGTCAATTGTCCCGACTTTGGTGGTTGCTTCGACATTGATGCTTTTCTTTATTGCGAGGATAAGCTTCGATGTCGGGCAACCAGTGTTAAAGCTATCAAAGCGATGAGATTGCCCACAAGCGATCGCGATCTCATGTTTGGTACGCTACCGCGAGGCCCAGTACCGCTTCTCACAAACGGTCTAGATCACCTTGTCGTGTTTGAGAAGTTCATCCGAGAGTGCACAGTCCCTTGTCCAAAGACCCCTCAGCAACGGCGATTGACAATATTGAATCTCTCAATGTGCGATCAAGGCGATGCCAAGATTGTAGTCGACGCGCTGGTTGAATTTCGAAAGTACAATCCAGATGCGATCATGTCTATCGTGGTTTCAAAACTGGGGCCAACGATTTATCAGGATACGCCAGCTTACAGGGAGTATGTCAGGCTTCTTGAGTGCAATCGAATTCACATCGATATGTTCACTGGCGTTGATGGCCCAACGCGCCAAGTCGTGCACGCCAAAGCGATAGTCATCGACGACAGGACACTCTTCAGCACCGGGGCCATCGTAGATACCAGGCCAATTGACAAGGCCGACTTTTCCATCGAGCTTCCGCCCACGGCAGCAAAAGCTTTTCAGATCTACATGCAAGAAGCCATCCTCGGTGGCGTGAGCAATGAACGTCGCGCTCATCTGGGGTCACAGCTTGCTAGTCTGGGCGTCATAATAAACGACCCCATCGCGAGTTTGACCTATATCAGTCGCGCGCAACATACCCTGCTCCGCGGTGCTCGTCGCGATCTTCTCGTGAGCGTTTCAGAACTCGTTGATCCGAAAATCACGAAACTCTTGGTGAGACGCGCAGCCAACGGCGTGACGGTAACGATACAAGTCCGTGAAATAGACGCGGCGTCATCAAGAATTCTTGCCCAAGCGATGCGGCGCTACGGCAAGCGGCTGACGGTGGAAGATGTCAGCTGGTGGGAGCCGCGACCGCACTATAACGCGATCATCGCAGACGATAGTCTCGCGTATCTGGGGACGTCATACTTCTGGCCAACACAAAGAAACATGATTCACCAAGGTCGATCGCTTGAAAATGGGGTTTTGCTTGAAGGAGAGGCTGTCAAGGTTTTGAGGAAGCAATTGGATGAATTGCGCGATCGTGCGTATAATAGTAGTGACAAAAGTGACAGTGATATAGCGTAGCTACGGGTTGAATCTCAACAGGATGGCGATTTTCTTTCGTGGGATGTTGTTTGTTCAAAGTTGAGGAGTGTCAGGACGCGTCTTCGTCAGCCAATCAACGTCTCGCTCATGGTAAAATTCGCGAACCCGGTGGCTGCTGGATTAAGTTTAGCTTATCAGTTTCGATTCAAGCATCACAAGCAAAACGAACGATATGGAGCCTAAAGGCTCATAAGGATTATAAAAATGATCGAGACAGGAGTACAGTGCTATCATTCATGATAGCACTTACTTTGTAACTGCATTTTATTGTCATTCCTATAAGGAATTGCTTATTTTCGGAGGTTAGTGATTGTGTGGATAGACTGTAAATTCGGCGTTGTTCGTTGTTTCATCGATGATCTTTCCTTCCAAGTTGCACTCCACCTCAACTCTTTGTGAAGAATTGAAAGTTCAAAGCCAAATATCTACTAACTTAATAGTTTTTATTAAATAATCCCCACAATATTGGGGACGACTGTCCCGTTTTCCATCGGTCTGTTCTCTGGGTCGCAAGTCCAGCTACCCTGCAGCGACAATGGTCCGTGCCACCACGCCTGTAGACTCATCCACTGTTGACGGCACGGAAACTCGTCATTCTGCCACTCCGGGTCTGCAACCAGACGAAGTCTTCTACCGGTCGCAACGTACTCGTCCCTTCAAGCGATGACGAAAATGTCACAACAGTCAGAAGAGCTTTCGTCATGGCTGCGTCCGCGTTTCAAAACATGCGCGACGAGACCTCGGATCGCGAATCTCCTTCTCAAATATCGAGCCCTCAGCAGCGGATTCGTATGCGACAATCATCGTAATGAACCGACTGACTCGTGGATTGAACAACGCATGGTGTCGATGCGAAAGGAAACGAGAGTGAAGACATCAAAAGCGGTAGCACCAGAGCTCTCTCTTGTTATGTTACCATCGCGATGAACCATGGATATCTCGTTCAGTTCGAACTCAGGATCCTGCCTATGGCCTAACGAAGTGGACACAATCGCTTGAAGATATTCTCTTGAGCTGTTACTTTCACTGGGGGGTTTGAAGTGAAAACCGTAGATAAGGTGAACATCACAAGAGGTCGCAAAGGACATTACTAGGATCAACGACTTTTGTTGACGCAACAGCTCAGGCAGTCTCACATGGCCAACAACAAGAACAAGACCTCACACAGTGACTCAATGTCACTACCTTTCGAGCATCATTGTGTGATCCACTGAAAGCTGCCTGCCTGTTATCCTCTCAAGCATCAACCTTCATTCTTACGTCTACTCTCCAACCTTCGACGCCGTCAAGCTCCGACATCAGGTTTGTTGCAGTCGCTCTCCCCTCCACGACAGACTTTGAGTTCCTCCTCACTCCTGCCCACTCCTTTCGCAATCCATCATAACCATTGCCTTCGTCTTGACGTTAACATCAGGAGTTCAGGTGATCTCATCATGCCGACCTCGCCCACCAAGATCAACAGAGCCTGGCAAGAGCAATGGCTTGACCAACAATGGGAAGGCAAGTCTTGGCTCCACGACGACGTCCGTTTGGCGCATGAAAACCCCCCTAAGCAGAACGAACTCAGTGGCAGTGCAGTCGACTCCCTGGTCAAGATCACTAAACTTGCGCAAGAAAAAGGCATCGAGCTGCCATCCCTGTGGAGTCAGGCACCACCCTACAATGTCCTTTGGACCGGCGTTAGCCAGCATCCCAGAGAGTCTCTCCGATTGACTAAGGAAATCGCGAGAGCCGCCCTCACCAATCTCAAGGCAGTTGTGCGTTCTCAGAGTCCTCAAGAAGCTGGCGGCCCATCAGAGGTAATCACTCTAGATTCCCAAGAGACTGGACCTGATGCCTGTGTGTACGTCGGAAGTGACCATGTTGAGAGCGACAGCAGCGATGATGACGATATCGAGGCCGTCCTGCGAAGCCCAAGCGTCATCTTGGGTGGTTGCCCCGGGTCGCCAGCCAAATCGCCAACCAAGGTCGTGGGAAACAACGACAAGCGAATCTCTCCGATCTCGGCTTTCAGTTACCAGGAGCCCCGAGAGCAGAGATCAGCTGTTTCCAACAACCCCTCTGAACCCGGACCCCCACAAATGAACATTTCTCGTCATTTCACCCTACCACCAGCTGTCACTTCGTCCAAGCGCAAAAGAGAGAAAGAATCCAGTGCGATGAACCCACAGCGATCCACGAAGCGTGCCGAAACTTCTAAGGGAGAAGAGGAGGTGGTTGACCCCGCTAACACCATTTATAAGCAGCTCACCACCAATGTGAAACTCGTGGATGACACGCTCCAATTCCTTACCAAAGCTCTCGTTTCTTAGTTACCTTTGAAACAAGGAAAGGTCAAAGTCCTCGACCCTCTCTGGTTCAAAGTTGACGGTACAACTGCTGGCCACAACATCAAGCTCGACGGTTATACTATGCTTTGCTTCCCGATCCATCATCAAAAGCCTAAGCATTGGACCTTGGCCATCGTCGAAATCGATCACGATGCGAAGTCGATGGTACTCAATCACCATGACTCGACCGAGGGCGAAGATCGGTTCAATGCCGTTCGCGATAGCTTCCAGAAATGGAATGAGGCCGTCGGACACAAGTTTAAGCTGCGGTTCAACAGTGTCGCAGTCAGTTGCTCCTCCTGCCATAAAGACTAATGCTGACCTCTCTCTATAGCCTTGCACTCCACAGAAGGATAGCATCAGCTGTGGAATTCACGTCCTCTCCTGTCTACGACACGCTCTGACAAACAGACACTGCCCCAAATCGCTCAACCCGAATGGCGAGCGCAGATACTTCATCAAAAAGATCAAGGAATCTAAGTCTTACGACGGCGACTATCCCCTACACGGAGTCAAGAAGATGTTCCAAAAGCAGGAGCATAAGCTGCTAGTGGAATTGGCTCGAAAAGAGACGCCCGAATCCCTCGAATCGGATAGACATCTTGCGGCTATTGCCGCAGACCGCGCCCGTGATGGCCTCAAAGATGCCCAGGCCACGCTGAGCCGCCTTCAGATCGAGCAGGGCACTTTGGCCGAAGCCTTAATTCGCCTGGATGCTGCTGTCGAGATTAAATCCGAGCCCACTCGTCGTTTGAGCCTCGAACCCTTGGACCGTCTGCGAGGTGACAGCCAAGAGGCGCTTTTTGCCCACATGAGTCAATACACCAAAACGCTGATGGACCAGAGCTTCGCCAATGGGTCTGAGATAGGCAGAAAGGTCGTTCACGAACATTACGAGGAGACCGTTGAGAAACTGAAGCAAGCTGAAAAGGATGTTGCCCAGAAACAAGAAGAACTTGACGAGGCCACAAAGGATGTGGATATCAAGACTCAGATGTGTGACCTGAAGGAGAACATAAACAACATTCTGAAACTGAATGGGTCTTCTCTTTGGAACCATTCTTTCGAGCGAGCATCGAACTAGCTGCAAAAAAAGGTGATTTGAAGGATGGCCTTGAGAACGGCCGCGCACAAGTGGTGAAAGCCGGGTTGGGGTTGTGAAATAGACTGAGATCTTAGACGTAAAAGCTTTTTATTTGTCGTTTATCCCATTGGTACGTAAATCCGCTGTGGGCATCGTGAACCCCCGTGATCCTCTACAATGGAACATAAGTGGCCTCTAAAATCGCTTGATACTTCAGTAACTATTCTTCCAATTGTATAAAGCTTAGGTAACTATCGTAATCCTCTGATCTTGAATTTCTCGACATATTTACGGTCTTTGATGATACTACACTAAAGCTCATAGACGGAGGATGGGCCATCAGGGCTTTTGCATTGCTTGGGTCACACTTTGAAGAAGTCATCCTCCTAGATGCCGATGCTGTGTTCATTCAACAACCGGAAAGGCTGTTTGCGCAAAAGGCATACATCGAGAAAGGAGCTTTGCTCTTCCATGACAGACTGCTTTGGCAACATGCATTCAAAGAAAGACATGAATGGTGGAAGGACCAGATCAAGGAGCCTTCAGCGGAGATGAACAAATCTCTTATATGGACAAAAGACTACGCTGAAGAATGCGATTCTGGTGTAGTAGTCCTCAACAAGGCACGAGTAAGTACTCTTGTTGGCCTTCTACATGTCGCATGGCAGAATACATATGAAGTTCGAGAGGAAGTCACTTACAGGCCAGGTCACGGGGACAAGGAGTCTTGGTGGCTTGGCCTTGAGCTTGGCGGGTCCAGCTATGAGTTTGAGTCGCACTACGGTTCAATGATTGGCTGGGGTGAAGGTAGAGGAGCAAACGTCACAAAAGTTTGTAGCTTTGTCATTGCTCATACTGATGAGAAGGACAAGCTCTTATGGTACAATGGAAGCCTGTTGAAGAACAAGCGTGTGGACCCAGATGGCTACGAAGTCCCAGAGTACTGGATGATGGATGGCAAATGGCACAAAGGAAGGACAAAGGACGATATGAGTTGTATGACTGATACGGAAGTACTGGAACTGACCGCGGAGGAGAAGCGTGTATTGCGGGAGAGCATTGAGATTGCTAAGAAGGTAGATATTGCCCTCAGAGGCACAGTATAGAGATACCACAGCCATTCTATTCTATCAATTTCGACAATGGAGCGTTAGTAATGATGATGAGCCCTAACTAAATGTTGTTAGGTCTGCCATGCTGCAATGATTTAGTCATCACTCTTCTGTGATAAGGGCGGTGTTGGGCAAACGAAGAAGTGCATTGGTGCCCAATAAGCTGAACCTGTTATCATGAAGGGGGTGCGTCGATTTATCCTATTGATTGAAGCTGAGAAAGCAGGCTGGGAGGATGACCACTAAAATGCTTTGCAGGGTGCTGTAGATGCGCCAAGAACGATGGTATTGGCTCGTTTTCGCCCAAGGCATGCGCAAGGCATTCTACTGTGGCCATCTTTTATCGCAATGCCTCCTCACCTCGCGAATTCCTCTTTTTACTGTCACAACTTTCTAAATCTCACCAAACGATACTATGACTGTACCTGCCTTCGGATTCTCCGCCGGCGACTTCGTTAGCGCCGTGAATTTGATCGTCGACATTACCAAAGCCTTGAATAATACAGGTGGCGCTGCAGAGGATTATCTCCAAGTGTTGGCGGATTTGAACCTTTTGAAGGATGTGTTGTCACACCTCCAGCAACAGCAGACCGGCAGGACGAGGCAAAGAAGCAGCAATCCTTTTGCAGAGCATGCGCGGAAGCAAGCAGATCTCACCTTATCTACACTAGCAAATTTTCTCGACCTGATATCCAAATTCGATGCCAGCCTGGGTCCCCAAAGAACCTCGGCTTGGTACCGCGGTGTTGGAAGAAAGGCGCAATGGGCTCTGGTCTACTCGAAACATGTCGATGATCTACGCTCAAGGATCGGGACACAGATTCAGACGCTGAACCTTGTCACTCAACTACAAGAGGAGTAACTACACCTCTCGATTACTATGCATCGTGTGCTGACTATGACGTAAGCGACCATAACGGCCTCGATGAGCTGAACAGCCAGCTCAACGTTATCAGAGTCCAGAATGAGCAGGTCATAACACAACTACAAGAGCGGTATGTCTTATCTATGAGTCTTTCAATGTGAATGGTTTTGAACATTTCTTGTAGCCGAATCATTAGTATCGAAGAACTTCGAGAACAACTAAGTCTGCTTGACCTTCGGGACGATGAGCATCAACCTGCTAGTGCACCTGCGCCGCCTCAAGTTGTTGAAGACCCCCAATCAAGTCCAAGTCATCAACCGATATTAGGGGACTTGGAAGACCCTGCCAGACGTCTGACCAGAAGCCAAGGGGACCAACCCATTCAACATGAGATGACCAGCCTACAAGAGACAACTCAAATCCTCTTACCAAAGCTGTAGGTAAACTCCAGGAAGTATTGATTATCATGAACTAAACGCTCGTGGCCAGACTTCGAGCTGTCACACGCGATTTGCACAACCTCATTATGAAGGCCTGGCTCCTGTTTCCAGGGTTAATGAGACACTATTCTCGCCTGTGCACATCAATCTCCATGCCACCACTTCTCATAATCGCCGAGAATATCAGTTTTGAAGACGTGCTCGGGCGTCAAACGACGCTACAGTATGACTTCTTCAAGCACTGGGCGGTATGTGAGGTTGCAGCACCACGCTCACATGGCAGCTAACTGTTCATCAGAATGTCGACATGTTCCTCAATAAACAGTTCGAGAACTGTCCAGGCCAACAGTATATAGCCAAAAAGCAATATTTCTTCATCGGAGCAGATGCAACAACAAATAAGCTGAACTCCAATGTTGAGATTGCTTGGCAAGCGATGGCCCGCCCTGGATGCCAAATTTCGATGTCCATAAAGATGATTGCAGAACAGGATATCGTCTTAGAGGCCAAATGCCCTAGTCCTGGTTGTAAAGGACGTCCAGTCAAAATAGGCGGCGAGAAAACATTTTCATGTCAAAAGTGTGATCTCATGTACTCCATGCTACCCAGCTCTGCAACAGAACCATTTGTCCGGGAAAGGAGAAATACGTCCAGCGTCTCCTACTTAAACCCATACTGGCGACGGGCACAAGCTTCTGAACCAGATCAAGACATCATTGGACTGGACCAGCAAATTGCTTGCTTCAAGAAAGTCCATATATTGGACCCTGCAATGAATGAAACATCGATAGTGGCAACTATGTCCCAAGGGAAGAATCCATTGCGATGGAGCAAGCTTAGCCGTAGAAGGGTCTCTTGGGTCTGGTTTTGTTGCGGCTGTGGTCATGGTGGGATGAAAGTAATTGTGATTTCTTGTCCACACTGCGGACTTCTTCGCTGCCCCAATTGCAGTGTGAAGAGAAAAGAGATCAGGTAACAGTTGATATCTGGTTCTAGTGAGAACATATCATGACGATATGTAGCTGCTAAATTGCGATTTATGTAGCACCAATAGAACTTAGGAAGCGCGACACGATTAGGCGCTGGAGTAGGAGATTGATGCTAAGCACGGGGGGAGTAACAACGATAGTTGTTTCATACGATTGAAGCTCGAGGAGAATAGAGGATCACAACCAGTTCTTGTTTTTATTTTAGTAACTTCGCCTCTTGGGCTCTATTTTCGTAAACACAGACCTTATTCCTCTTCAATGTTTCCAAGCTATCCATCGTTTAAGCAAAAGTATTACCTACACTATTGCAATTTTAATCAGACTTACGCCAATGTGTATTTATTCAGCCTCAAACCTATGAGAGCAGACTGAATAAAAGAGAATCATCGTTGGAGATTAGCCCTTAACTATATTAGCTTACAGTACCATGTTTACAGGACTTTACTGCTCAGCGCGGTGACAAGACAAGTAATGCGCTGATTCGAAACGCTGAAGCCGTAATAGTGCTAGGGCTATTGCGTTACATGCTCTGGCCCGTTATTTGAGACGAGTTAATGGCCGGCGTCAACGCTGACCTTCTAAATTTAGTCCGTGTCTCAGCAGGGTCTGGTCGTGTAAGCACCTCAGTCGCGGTGTCAGTGGGTGAACCGGCAATGTCCGAAAGTGGTTAAAGACCGCTCCACTGCAGTTCGATCCGACACAGGCAGTGCTACGGTACTGTAAGTCCCGCTTTCGGAGGCTTGCCGCATACAGATCGCATGTCATGGCTTCGCTCTCAGGATCTGTCGGTTCAGTTGAGATGGACGCGATATATAGAGTCTATTGGCATGGAACCTGGGAGTTGATTATTGGTGTGTCGTCTCTTTTGGTGTCTAACTCGATCCTCCCAAGTTCATTCTGGGGATACAATTCATCGACCATGGACAGCCTCAATCCAATAGCCCTCGAGCGTTTGCTGAGTCCTTCGGCGCTACTTGGCTTTACTGGAGTTTGGCTTGGTTATCGCGTGGCGCTCGCACTTTATAATGTCTCTCCTTTCCACCCTCTGTCCAAATTTCCTGGTCCAAAAATTGCTGCCGCTTCGTATATATATGAAGCTTATTATGACTGGATTCTCATGGGTCGGTATGGCAGGAGGATAGAGAAGATGCATGAGCAGTATGGTGAGTACTCGACGAGGACTTCCTAATAAAATTGAAGTGACTAAAAGTCGTTGAAGGCCCTATCGTGCGCGTCAGCCCCGATGAGCTTCACTGCAGCGACCCCTACTTTGCCGACGAGATCTACACGGGGAAGCCAGGTAGAAGTACGTCCATTTGACTGCTCTGCTCGGCGCAATGAAATCATCCAGCTTACAATTCTTCCAGTCCGCGACAAATGGCAACACCACCTCAAAATAGCAGGCGCCGGCCCAGTCTCAATGGCAACCGGCACGGCTGGACCGCACGAGCTACATCGCAAACGTCGCGCTGCCCATGCACGTTTCTTCTCACGTGGACAGGTTCTCAAGCTCGAAGACGAAGTCTACAACTACGCCAAGCTCGCCATTGAGAAAATGCTCCGCTGGACCGGCAAGGAGGCATTCGAAGTCAAGGGCGCCTTCAACTGCTATACTGCCGATGTCTTCTCCCAGTACGCATTTGGAGAGCCTATGGGCTTTATCGAGCAGGAGGGCTGGGAGCCCAACTTTGGAACTTGGACCTCGTCCTTCTTGACAACCACTTACATGAGTACGTTCAAAGAGAGCCCCGTCTACTGTTTTGTTTTAGTCGTGTCTCGCACGTACAGACATGTCTGCCAGAGCTACTTTGCTGTATAAAAAGCAGAAACATATTCTTGGTCGTGAAACCGTTTTTGACTAGGCAGTTATGCTAATTATGCGGTGTATAGTGCGGCACAACGGGTTTGCCAGGCGACTGGCCGATATCCTACCCATTTTCGCGGATTATATGGGTGACGATGTCAAGAGGATAATGCACCAAATGCATCATGTTATCCCAGCCTATATCAAGACTGCCCTAGCAAATCCCGATGGTGGCCGTGTCTTTAACGAGATTCTGAACTCCAACGTCTTACCTGAGGAAGAGAAGAGCATTTACCGTCTTTCGGGTGAGGGATTTGTCTTTCTTGTTGCTGGAACGGAAACCACTGCGGTCAGTTTTTCTACCATATTGGACAAGTCGGATTGCTGTAACTGACCCAATACAGGCTATTCTCACCGTTATGACGTTTCACCTTCTTCACCAACCCAAGATCTATGCTCGTCTGATGAAAGACCTCGAAGGCATTGATCCAAACAACCTAAAATGGGCACAGCTCGAGCAGAGACCATACCTCTGGGCCCTTGTTCAAGAGTCTCTACGACACCAGCCTGGGGCGGCCGCACGATCAGCTCGTATCGCCCGTGAGGAGGAACTCTACTATAAGAGTCAAGATGAAAAGACGCAGTTTGTGATCCCCCGAGGTACACCTGTAAGCATGACGGCCATGATCAACCACTGGGATACTCGGCTGTTTCCGGATCCTGACGCTTTCAACCCTGACCGGTGGTTGCTACCCGACGGCAAGCCTGATTATACGCTGCAAAAGTTTCTTATCTCGTTCTCGAAGGGATCTAGAGTTTGTGTTGGTGAGAGGTAAGTCTTATGCTTATTCCCAGTTTCAACTACCGAGAATGTCCAAGTCGCAGTCTTCAGGCTAACAGATGTGTCTTGTAGTCTTGCGCTGTGTGAGATCTATATCATGGCCGCTCTGATGGCTTTTCGAATTATCCCGAAGGCTGAGCTTTTCGAGACTACGATTGAGGATCTCACGTATGACCATGACCTGGTCGTTTTGCAGACGAAGAAAGGACACATATCGACTCGCATCAAGATCACATGATATGCGAGAGACCATCCAAAATTCAGTTTGCCATGAACTATGTGAGAGAGCGTTATAGCAATATCTATTTAGCTCTTTTTCAATGGCAAATTCTTAGTCAAGCAAAGGAATAACCTTCATGGTACCGAGGCAACGGTTTAAGACTGGATATAAGAACTACAAAAGCCTAGAACTAGAAAAGAACAAAGATACATGAAACTGCATTCGAAATATTTCTAAAGCATAAGCTCTGTGTAGTCACATGAGCCCATGGCCACAATAGTAAATAGTGCATATAGGTTGGGTGACCCAGGTGTAGGGTTCAACCAGGTCAAAATCCCTTACCCCTCTGCAACACATACACTGCTAGATATGCCCAGCAAGGTTGTAAGGTAACCAATCATATTATGTCAGTGTGACCTAATTGCTGCTTTCGCCGAAAATCTTGAGAAGAAATAGCATGCTATAGAAACGCTACAGTTTGTATGCCACATGCATTTGGTGGTACGTCTTGGCGTCCTTCAACGCCCTGAAGTCGGTAGGTAAGTATCTCGTTACATTCTTGTATAAGTTACTAAAATTCTATAAAACTGTCTGAATTTGTCCCAGTTGGTCAAATGCGAACCGTTCATGTCAATGCCTCCTAAAGTCCGACCTGTTCCTCATGGAGTGATGGTGAGCGGTCCTTGCACACCTGCAACTTCATGCTATGACAGCAGTCAAAGCCATACCCTCGCCACCCAGTCGATCAGGACGCACGTATCCTGGGCCTATGGGCCTGTGGCTCCTGTTGAATAACTATACGCGGCTTCGCGTTCTCCATCAGGTATGGTCTCTGACGGAGGACTTCCCTGAAGTAGCTCGGCCGCCCATCCTCCTCAACAAGCTCCAGGAGCCGATCAGCTTTGAAGTCGACCGTCAGGCCGCTAAGCCATTCACCATCGGCCATCAAAACAACGCTGCAATGCCATGGGGTCGTGAAGCCGCTCTTGGTGTTGAGCAAGGAAATGGAAATCTTATTTTCACCGGTGGATTGGTGGATACTGAGACGCAAATGGTTCGGGAAGCGTGCTTTGACGGCTCCTGCAAAGGCCTTTCCATTACAGAGACTATGTTAGCCATTGAATCACGGTTGGGTATAGCAATGACTGGAGTAGTGAACTGGAAACTTACATATCCACGGATCAGCATCTGCTTGGCCAGATATTTAACATCCTTCCTGTACTTGGCACTGCTCTTGGCTGGGCCGAAAATGTGCTGCAGATCTGACTTGAGAAAGCGGCAGTATCCCTTGTAAGTCCCGAGAGTGTCCGGATTTACGGCGATTTCGTGGTCAATATCAAGATCGCCGTCCCGGCCGTACTTGTTGAACAGGGTCCGGCGGAAGTTAGTTGCGTTGGCTACGTACGTGAGCTCATTAAGGTCATTTGGCAGACCCTTCACTGCGACCAAGTCCTGTAGACGGGAGAATGAGAGATGAGAGAAACCCTTTTTCTCGGCCATTGCCCGCAGCGCCGATCCATAGCGCCAGGTCTCCTGGTCGGAAATGCCCAGCAAGTCTAGATGAAATGTCAGTGATGTCCCAGTAGCCGTGAGATATTTCACCCTGTTTCGAGTGAGGGATGCAGAGGGTAGACGTACCATTGTAAACCAGGCCGTCCGAGATGACAGTCAACTCGGCCCCCGGCTCATAGAATTGGCCAATAGTAACACATATGGAGTTTAGTCTAGCAAGTGCCAACTCTTCAGCCTTATCTGGGAGGTTGCCCAGCACCTTTTCGACCTTATTTGCTGACTTGAACGGGAATGCGGGCAGACACATCACCACCTTTTGCTGTGCCCTAACAAAGCGTGAGACGACGGCTAGGAACTTGGGCCTGCCGGCGCTGTGGAGTTCCTCGGTGGTGTCGAACTTGTGAAGCGAGTATTCTAGAATTACATCCAGAATTCTGTTTGAAGTCTCGGAGACTTTAGTCTCTTCACAGTCTTCCGTTTTGTCATCTGAGGCGGGAGGGCCCGTCATCTCGCTCGGGACACTGGAGCGGGAAGATCTCGTCGACATGGTGTCGTCGAAAGAAACGTCTGATCCAGCTATGGTTACAGCCGGTGTCTTCAGTTTCAAGACGTCGGAGGGGCTCTGATGATCAATATCGATAGACATGGCGACCAAAGCACGTATTAATGGTATGATAGAAGATCAAATGATAAGAAATAAACATGCGATAAAGATGAAGCGGAGGTGTCGTCAAAGTCACAATCTAGAACAAGCTGTACATATAGTATCACGCACAACACTGATCCAATTGGGACAGATGATCCAATGTAAGAGGCCTTGATCCTTCACCAAAGAGATTGACGGACATGCTCAGCCATAATTTATCCGGGAGAATGCCAGAAGAAGGAAGACGATGTCTGCATCACTCCAACCCAAGTGAGGCAAAGCCCGCCATTGTCATTTGGTAGGCAACATACGCTAATTCGATGCCGGGCACTGCACTAGGAAGGGAACTTGTGGCTTGGTAAGGCGGACGCTAGGAGAGCCAGGCCGCTGCAAAAAGCACACAGGGGGGTCAACGGGCCGGGACATTGCCGTTTCAGGTCCGCTGCCGTTAACTACCTTAAGGACCTTACAGCGTCTGAGGTGAGATGGAAGTGGATCGGGACAGGACCCCGGTACAGAGACAGGGATTGCTCTTTAGACCAAGGTACCTAAGCGCCCGCCCCCGATCTCAATTATCGAACAGTCTGTGCTGAGACCTTCTGTTGTGTCACCCAGAAACAGGATTTCTCCCCTTTCTCCTTCTCTTTTCTCTTCTGGCTTACTATCTCGCCATCGCATTTACTCATCGCTTACTCGCCGCCTGAAGAAGCCGGTCTTCTCAGTGCACGTCTCAACAAACGATACCTCGGATTCTTAGCCTGGTTAGTTAGTCATAGTGATCTGACGGCATCCTGAAGATCAATTTAGCGTCCCAGCTGGTAGACTAGTGCCCTGACGCACTTGCGAGGCCCTCCACCGTCTCCACGACCAAAAGCCCCGGCGGATTGCTTGCTATCTCTGTCGCTGACGCTGCGATGGGACAAACCTATATGCGCCTGCAAGAAGATGGCGATGACGCAAATGCCAGTGCTAGCAGGCTTCTAGCGCCCACGAGCGCACATCTCGCAACAACCACGCTGCAGGTCGGCGGCATGACGTGCGTCGCTAACTCCTATTTCGTTAATTTCGCTCTCTGAAGCTAATATTGGCACCTCAACAGATGCGGTTCGTGCACGCCGGCCGTTGAATCAGGCTTCAAAGGCGTTGACGGCGTCGAAGCAGTCTCCGTCAGCCTCGTAATGGAGCGCGCCGTCGTCACGCATGACCCAGAGATCATACCCGCCGAGAAGATACAGGAGATCATCGAGGACCGTGGTTTTGACGCTGAGGTACTCTCGACTGATCGTTCCAACCCCACAACTACTCAATTGAACAACCACGTCTTCGGCCAGAGCAATGCGATTGGGAGCGAACCTGAGCCTACGATGGTTACTGCGACGACCACTTTTGCCATTGAGGGCATGACATGTGGCGCTTGCACGTCCGCCGTTGAAGCCGGCTTCAATGGCGTGCCTGGTATTCTCAAGTTCAACATTAGCCTTTTGGCGGAACGAGCCGTCATTACTTATGATGAGACGAAGCTTTCGCCGGAGGAAATAGCCGAGATTATTGACGATCGTGGATTTGATGTTACTATTCTATCGACGGAGCGCGATTCGATCCATCAGGCAGGAGATACGACAACCGCTCAGTTCAAGGTCTTCGGCTGCAAAGATGCGACCACTGCCCAGCTTCTGGAGGAAGACCTCATTGCAGTCCAAGGCATCCGATCCGCATCTATCAGCCTCAGTACGGACCGCCTGACAGTCGTCTACCAGCCCAGGACTATAGGACTTCGTGGCATTGTTGAGGCTATAGAAGCGCAGAGCTTGAATGCCCTCGTTGCAAGCAGCGAGGATAACAACACGCAGCTTGAATCGCTGGCAAAAACGCGCGAGATCACTGAGTGGCGGACAGCATTCAGGACGTCGCTTGCCTTCGCGATCCCGGTTCTACTCATCGGCATGATTATTCCTATGGCTTTCCCAGTGATAGACATTGGACGTTTCGAACTCCTACCGGGTCTATTCCTGGGTGACATCGTATGCCTCGTTCTCACTTTGCCTGTTCAATTCGGGATTGGCAAGCGATTCTATATTACTGGGTACAAATCTCTTAAACATAAATCGCCAACGATGGATGTTCTCGTCGTTCTCGGCACATCATGTGCCTTCCTTTTCAGCGTCTTCTCCATGCTCATCTCAGTCCTTCTTGAGCCACATTCTAAACCTTCCACAATCTTCGACACATGCACCATGCTCATCACATTCATCACACTGTCTCGGTGGCTCGAGAACCGCGCCAAAGGCCAGACTTCTAAGGCGCTGTCTCGTCTGATGTCACTAGCTCCATCCACAGCTAGGATTTATGCTGATCCTATCGCCGTGGAAAAGGCAGCTGAGAGCTGGGCAAAGTCATCTGACGAGCCCCCAACTCTCAAGACACCCCAGACTCATGAGCCTGGCGTCTCTGCTTGGGAGGAAAAGGTCATCCCAACAGAGCTGCTTGAGGTTGACGACATTGTTGTCATCCGTCCCGGTGACAAAGTGCCAGCAGATGGCATCCTGGTTCGAGGGACAACGTTTGTTGACGAGAGTATGGTTACTGGAGAAGCCATGCCTGTTCAGAAGTACATTGGCGATAGTATCGCCGCCGGGACTGTCAACGGTGATGGGCGTGTCGATGTCCGAGTTACTCGAGCTGGCCACGATACGCAACTAAGTCAGATTGTCAAGCTAGTGCAAGACGCACAAACTGCCCGTGCCCCCATTCAGCAGCTGGTTGACACAATAGCCGGCTACTTTGTCCCCATGATTCTTATCCTAGGTCTTGGTACGTTCCTGGTATGGATGGTCCTATGTCATGTTTTATCTCACCCTCCGGAGATCTTCCTCGAAGATAACAGCGGCGGCAAGGTCGTAGTCTGCGTTAAGTTGTGTATTTCCGTCATTGTCTTTGCTTGTCCGTGTGCTCTTGGGTTGGCCACGCCCACTGCCGTGATGGTTGGTACCGGTGTCGGTGCAGAAAACGGAATCCTGATCAAGGGAGGGGCTGTCCTCGAACGTATTACCAAGGTCACGCAGGTTGTCCTCGACAAAACCGGCACAATTACCTACGGTAAGATGAGTGTGGCCAGCGTTGGTCTAGTCCCGCAATGGACAAGAGACGAGGTCAGTAGACGACTGTGGTGGTCCGTTGTCGGCCTAGCAGAGATGGGGAGCGAACATCCCGTCGGCAAGGCTATCCTAGGCGCTGCAAAGAAGGAGCTCGATTTGTCGCCCGAAGGAACCATTGATGGCAGCGTCGGAGACTTCAAAGCCGTTGTAGGGAAGGGCGTCAGCGTGACTGTCGAGCCAGCTACCGCCAACCGGTCACGATATATGGTACTGGTTGGCAACCTCATATTCTTGCAGGATGGTGGTATTGATGTCCCTGAGGATGCTGTCGAGGCCGCAGAGCTGCTTAATCTGTCGGCTGGCGAGGGCAAATTGCAAGCCAAGAGCGATATCAGCAGCGCTGGAACTACCAACATCTTCGTGGCAATTGACGGCCTTTACTCGGGCCATATGTGCCTGTCCGACTCAATTAAAGAGGACGCTGCAGCGACTATATCTGTATTGCACCACTTGGGGATAAAGACCGCGATAGTCACCGGCGACCAACGGTCTACCGCACTTGCCGTCGCCTCTGCCGTGGGTATCGACTTCAATAATGTTTACGCCGGCGTTAGCCCCGATCAGAAGCAGGCTATCGTACAAGAGATTCAGGACCGCGGCGAGGTTGTCGGCATGATCGGCGATGGCATTAACGACTCTCCGGCGCTTGTGACGGCGGACGTGGGCATCGCTATGGCAAGTGGAACAGATGTCGCGATGGAGGCAGCAGATATGGTCCTCATGAGGCCGACAGAGCTTATGATCATACCTGCTGCTCTAGCGCTTACGCGCACTATCTTCCGTCGTATCAAGATAAACCTCGGATGGGCATGTATTTATAACGCTCTCGGCCTCCCGATTGCTATGGGTTTCTTTCTTCCTTTCGGACTTAGCGTACATCCTATAATGGCGAGTCTCGCGATGGCTTTCAGCAGTGTGACGGTGGTAGTCAGCAGCCTGATGCTCAACTCTTGGACAAGGCCTGTTTGGATGGACGAGATGGCGAAGAACGGTGGCAGGGAGCCCAAGGCGGAGAGATGGGTATGGGGAAGGGGCATTGCCGTGCGGGTGAAGGAGATGATCGGACGCAGAGGCAAGGCGGAGGAAGTTGGGTATGTGCCATTACAGAACATAGAAGGCTGAGGTTGCATGTGATCATTGTCTTGATAGGCATTGGAATACTAAGGTCTCCTTGATGGGCCTTCAAGGAAAGCAACTAATGCAGTTACATATACTTTTCCTCAAACAGTCACGTCCATGCTGTTGAGACAAGGTTCGAAGTGCAAGCATCAGCTACCAGGTCCATCAACTCAAAGTAACACTCTCAAAGCACGATTAACTGAACATACCAAGTATCTACATGACTGCCTAGTACACCATACTATCAACGATTCGATCTTGAACCTGTTCAGCTCCGAACAAATGCAATTTCAAGATTAGAACGTGGTGAATCAATGGACGATTTATATCCTTGCGTAAGCAGGTAAAACAAAACTCTAAGTAGGAATATACATATGCGCTCAATATATCCGAAATGTCAGTCTAGCTATCCTGCTGTTCTACCATCATCGTATTCCGATTCTCTCTCAATCTTACAACGCTGCCATCTTCTTTGGTATAAGCAACTCCCTCGTTTTCCTGACCCGAGCACCATCCTCCTTACTCTTGAAATACCTGCCTGTCTTATAGCTCCAGAGAAGACTGCCGAGGGCATGGTTCTTCTCGACCTCGAGATAGCCAAGGAGCGCGCGATCGGCCTCCTCCCCGAAGCATGGGAGCTCTGAGAGTGCTCTATAATAGCGTCTGTAACAGTTGTTGATCATAACTCCGACTTCATTTATGGCCTGCTGCGTTGAGAGGCCCTTGGCCTTAAGCAAGCGGACCATATTGTGGTCAACTCCAAGGCGAAGATCCTTTTCGTAGGAGAGAATGTCGTTGACTAACAGGATCTGGTCGCTCATGATGACCATGATCTCGAACACTAAAGGATGATCCGCTACCTCCTCGGGCAGATCAATCCCATAAGCCCACTCATTGTTCACAAGCGCAGGATAGGCGCCCAGAGATCCCCGACGCATGGCCAGGTACTCTTCTGGACCACGTGTGAAGGATCGACCCTCCACATTTGTCCGAACCTGTGCGACCAGTCCCTCCCAGTAGAGTTCGTGTGCCCACATCCAGCGCCTGTAGAAGCGCTCTGACGATGGCTTTCCCGCGTAGAAACCCTCAGGGCTTTGCTTGACGCGATCGCACAATGTCTGAAACACATAGCGAATAGGATGTTCTGAGTCTGCGGTATACCGCGGGGCAGTACCCTCCATGATCTCACGTGTCCTGGCAATCTCATTTATGGCGCCATCCAGGTCATTGGACAAGTGGCCTTCGTCGAACTGGTCGTCGAAGAGGAAGGCCCATGAGTTCCAATCGGCTGACGTACGTAGGGCGAATGCGCTGCAGTCAGGAGCCCAAATACTTGCAAGATAGGTAAAGTCAACCCGTTTGTTTCTGCTGGCCCACTTGGCATCGGCGTTGATCACGCTTTACACCGTCAGTCTCGGTAAAATTGGCAAAGAGGTCTGTTTGACGCGTGGGGTGTGACTTACGAGGAGATCCACTCGTCGGCATCGGCTTTGACGCTGGCATAATGGGGGTTCTCACGGGCTGGAACCGACATGAGTGAGCTGAAGAGGTCGGGAAGGATGAGAACCTCCATCTCGGCACGATCTTGGAATTGGTCATGGTCGGGAACATTGTGCACCCCGTTGCCGTTGGCCATTCTGGATTTGACCTCATGCTTGCTGTTGATGTGAAGGTCGTCCCCGTTCGTCATCTCGGACTCAGAACCACTATCAAATTTGACCATGACGCCGCTCTGTTGTTAGATTTGGATGTTCTATGCTAATTGAGTTATCTCTAGTCAAGTTCATAAACGCCTCTGGAACTCTTCAATGCATGGGAGCATCATATAATGCAGCAGCAGATCTATGGTGCATTTAAGGCGTGGCGTTTGCCAAGCGATCTACTCGGGCAGGCTGTGGCTCTGATGTCTCGATTGGGAAAGACGCCGCCTCTACGGAAAAGGAATGGCAAACGTTGTGAAAACGTTCATATACCGGCACTAGCAACGAATTCCTCCGTTTGAGGCTTGATCCGGATGCTTATTTTCAGTGCCGGACAAACCCCCGAAAGGCCATAAGCAATAACACTCCGGTCAGCTGACGTGAGCCTGAATATGTTCCGTTCTGCATGGTCCTTATCAGTCCCTTGCGACGGGACATGCTCGTATAGGAAGTCTAGACGGGAAAATAAAAATTCACCCTAAATCAGTGGATCGCCCATGAAATTTTGTGTAAGCTAAGCTCATCAAGAGTCCTGTATTCTTCCCCCAGAGGCGCAGTGCAGAGCGATACGAGCAGGAATGCACTTAGGGAGTAGTGCTTACATCTGAACCCCTGTATCTTCATCAGTGGAGCTCTGGTCCCTGTCGGTCCCGGTTCAAGGAGACACTCGATTGGCCCCGGAGGAAAAGGCCTCTACAGGCAGCGGGAAGCCTACTGAAATCGAGAGATTCCCGTCTCTTGAGGTAGTAAATGCGCTGATATCAGATTGGTGAGTCTAGGCCCTCAGCACCCCTACATCGGCGACCTACTGCCGAATCCAGGGGTTTAGGTGTACTGAAGTCGAAGATGACTGGGGCGGGACATGGCACTCAACGGGTGGCCCCGCAACCCTTGGGGGCTAGGGACCTTTCAGGGTTCGGGGTCTAGAAGGATGGTTCATAGGGAATCTGGAAGGTGAGCATGATCTACATGCACGTTCGAAATCGCGCAGGACAGCTTGACGAACCGTGCTCCGACTTTCTTTGATAATCCTTTGCAATCTGCAACCCAGTATATCGCAATGTCATCGTAAGCTCGACTAAAGATACAGGGGAGAGGCGTGGAGAACGCATGCATGCATGGGTAGGACGATAAAGTTACCACTGTCCATGGTCTACAGTCACAGTCATTGCCTGATCCAGCATATTACATATACTGCTGATCCTGTTGGTTCGACAGGTAATTTATCCAGCAATTCTGAGGTACCTGAACTGGAGATCAACATGTTTAGTACCCTACGGCAAACGTTTGGTGATGGAGACCGACTTCTCAGCGTGGAGATTGCCCCGCCCTTTGACAAGGACAGGACGTCCATGCGCACTGCGTGTGAGAGGTGCCGTGCACAAAAGGTAGGTCACATCGCAGCCATTCACATTCATCATCACTATCAAGTCGGCGAGTCTTGATTGATAAACCGTAGTGACCTCTATTTCCATCTTCACTTGACGACAACGAGACTGATTTGATGTTGGCGTTGCCTTTAGTCCAAGTGCGTGAGCGGTGAGAACGGCTGTATGCTATGCGTTGCCAAGAACCGGAAATGCGAGTACTTGGTCATCTCAAGGCCTCAACGGCGCACGTCCAGCGTCGCTAGTGGTGGCTCAAAGTCACGGAACGGTGAAGATGAAGACGATGAAGACGACGACAACACCAATACAGTCGCCAACCAACACAAGCAGGCTCAACAGGCAAGGAGACACAAACGCCGGTCTCGAGCGCAGTCTATGAGACAATCGTCGCCATTATCGACACATCTATCATCCCCCAAAGACCAATCAAGAGTTGTAACAACCTCCCAGCCCTCACTTCAGGACAACAGCAACAATATCGCAACAGGGCCAGACGTGGGCCTAGAAGAGGCACAGCAACTGTTTCTCGACACCCTCTTCCCAGACTCCTTAGGACAGATACCACCTGTCTTTCCACAGTTCGACCCGGACTTCTTTGGCAACATTGCCGGCGTTACGCCTACGGCTACCTCAAAAAGTCGGGAAGGCCACAGCGGTGTTGGTGTTACAGCTGAAGCGTTGACTGCTCGGGGAAATAGCAGCAAGCAGAGCAATCACACATCGGTGTACTCTTCGTCGTCGGCAGATAGCCTGTTTGAATACGGGATTGACCCGATGGACTTTCTGATGGATGAGTCGCGGGTTTCTACAACCCTGGCTCCAAGCGGTGCCCATGACCCTAAAAGAATCACAACCGAGGCTCAGCCTGCTACGACTCATTCCTCTACACCACCAGATTCAGTTGCTACCTCCACTTCTTCACCTTCATCTTGCTGCTGTATGATGACAGCCGTGAGCATCTACGAGGCCATGCAGTCTCAGCTCGTCTGGGGCGATCCCGTGGCTGGCCCATCGGCGGCATCAACTCCCAGCTCTACGTCAGCAGGCTCTTCATACTCGTCTGGACCATCTTGGTCAGGATCAGACTCAGGGTCAGGCGCAGGAACAGCCGCGACAACATGTCAATCAACGTCACCTCTCATGACCCAGCAAACGATCCTGAAGCGCCAGAAGATGATACTACTTCGTTGCGACTCTCTTGTCCAGTGCGGCACCTGCTGGTCCCGCCCGGACTTTGTCATGCTTATAATGACTATGTGCGATCGCATATTGACAAGCCTGGAGGCGGTCGACCGTTTTGTCTGCAACAGAAGTGACGATGACATAAATAAGGTCAGTTCCAACGGCACCGCTGCTGCCCTAGACATGCAAGTCATGGCAACGCCGTTGAGCGCGGGGCTAGAGGTGTCATCCCTGTCCCGATCATCCCAGATGCTGCAGCCTGGGGTAGGTGCATGGCAGATCGACGACGACGACGAGATGGAACTGGTTATTAGCCTGATCAAGTCCCGCGTGACAAGGCTCGGCAATCTGATCACCATGGCTGAGGGGACAATAAGTGCAAATGCATGGCCTTGGCATGAGAGGCTAGTCCAGGCTCTACGGAAGAGATCTAACAAACTACTCATCTCCTTGTCATTTCGTTACTTTTCTTGACGCCTTGCTTATTTATAAAATTGTTTGCATGGAGTTTATTTGGTTTGGAAAAACGGGCTGCTCCTAGAATAGACAAGCAAGGAGCAATCATTTTCGGTAGACTACAGAGAGACACGCCAAATTCAATAAACCAGGAACTATATTTGTTTATAGCAGTTATACAAGTACAGCGATGTACAACATCGAGACCTCGCAGAGTTTGAAACGGCTACGAGATGATCCAAAGTGACGTGTTCTGTCTTCTAAGTCGTGCCCCTGTGATTGTCAGCACTTCTTCTTACCCGTCTGTACTACACGACTTTCAGCGTCTGTCTGGAGCTGAATGCTGTGAGTAAGAGTACAGCCACTCGGGTTTTGGGTGTAAGACGCGCATCCAGTGCTGACAAGCAGTCGGTTCAGATTGGTAGCTGGCCGATGGACACTTGCCGCTTCGGGCTCACTTCCGCCCCGTTGATTTGGCCCCGTCTCAGCCCCTCCAACTTGCTGCTCCGGGTATACCTCCGTCCTGCTCGGCCATGACACAGCTGACGCCACAAGCAGCATAAGCATAATCGGGATTGATAGAATTTGGGTACGACACCCCTTCAGATATATCCTTATTCATCGGTTCTCTATCCGTACTTCAGGACATATTCGTCCATCTAGCCCTGGTCGTACCAAAGGTGTAAGTAACTGTCCTCAGCAGTCTTGTTGGGACGATCAAAAGCTCCTTTACAAAGACTTCTGAACGACCAATTATTGTCAATTGCGACCGCGGGTTAGATTTTATCTGGTTCACCTTCACTGTCGCTGAGACAAGCCTCAGTCTTTACTTCACCATGGCTTCCCCTCTCCTGCTCATCGGTGTCATTGGCCTTCCCATCATCATTGTGCTTCAATGGCTAGTAACATATGCGCGCACCGTCCTCAAGGTCCGTCGCAATGGTCACCCCGCGATCCACAGCGGCGTCATGATCTTCGAGTCCGTCATTCGTTCTTGGTATCCTCGTATTCCCATCCTGGTCCCCATGGAGAAGTTCACCCTCAAGGATCCTTTTAAGAAGTTCGCCAACGCGCGTTCCGATATGATCGTCATCACCGAGGCTGTGAGTAACCTCTCCCCATTCCCTAGGAAAGACAGTTACTAATGTTGGTATCTCATTACTAGTCTTCGCCTAATGGCGTGGCCTATCTCTTCGGGTCGCCAAAGATCTTTCGTGAAATCGGCCGCAATGGCGACATTTTCCTCAAGCCTCTTGAGAAGATCCGCTATCGCATGCTGAATACCTTCGGACTACAGCTCGCCTCGGCACAGAACGGTGCCCAGCATGAGAGACACAAGCGTGTCGTCAAAGCAGTGTTTAACAACGAGCTCATGGAGAACGGATGGTACAACATGCGCAATATGTGGAGGACCTTACTCCGCGAAGAGCGCATCTATCCAGCGGCCGCAAACTCGCAGACGGCTCCCATTGTACGAAACATGAAAGAAACCATGCTGAAGGTGACACTAGGTGCCATCGGCGCCTCGTGGTTCGACATTGACATCCCCTGGGATCCGGCCGAGGAGTCGCAGCGCAACGCGAAAAGCGACCTGATGCCATTTGCCGAGACGCTGAAGGTCGTGTGGGATTCTCCATTTGTACAGACCATATTCCCCCTGTGGTTCCTGGAATGGAGTCCTTCATTGCATTTACGTCGCGCTGGCTGGGCGCAGCGCTCCCTCGTCACTCACATTAAGAATGCACAGGCTGAGACGAGGCAAAGAATTGAGGATATGAAGGATACCACGGAGGTCCCAGGCCGACCGAGAAAGTACAGGAACCTCATTGACGCGCTGGTCGATTCCCAAAATGATGTGGAGAAGGCTGAGAAGGCTGAGAAAGGATACGTGGCGCCCAATGTCGGGCTATCAGACAAGGAAGTTCAAGGCAACATTTTCTCTTTCATGGTGTAAGTCCATATGGCACTCGACCGTCTTACATACTCTGGCTAACAAATGACTCAGGACTGGTCACGAAACATCCTCTCATACCCTGACTTGGGTCTTGTCACTTCTCGCCCGGAACACCGATTGGCAAGAAAAGCTATATGAGGAGATCAGCAAGGTGAACACTGTCTCCTTGGATGAGGCCGAAAGCGTGGGCGACGCAAAGCCATTGAAGTATTTCGGCTACGAGGAAATGGCAAACTTCCCTCTGGTCCTTGCTGCTACCATTGAATCACTCCGCATGCGCGATCTGGCCATGCAGATGACACGCGTGGCCTCCCGCGACACCACGCTTAGCTACACAACATGGGATGGTGACGCCGCCAACCCATCTGAGGCTAAGGTCCACCAACACACCGTTGCCATTCCCAAAGGCACGCGCGTGCACCTCGATACGGCGGCGTTTGGGGTCAACCCGTTCAAGTGGGAAGACCCGCAAACATACAACCCAATGCGCCACCTTCGCGAGACTGAAGACGCGAATGGCAACAAAAAGGTGACTGTAAGTTTATCTTCCCACGAACCACCCTCTGTCTAGACATAAAGGAAACCTTGGAACCAAGTACTAATGCTCTCAACCACGCAGGTGTCGTATGAGGACTTTATCGGCTACTCGTCCGGCTCGCGCCAGTGCATTGGAAAGCGCTTCGCAGAGGTAACAATGGTGTGCTTCCTAGCACATATGATCATGAACTTCCGCTGGGAGGTCGTGCCCGAGCCGGGCGAGACCCAGGAGCAGGCTAAAATTAGGGCCTCTACTGGCTCGGAACAGTTCATGTTGACACCTCCAGCGTACGATCTGCGCTTTATTAGACGCTAAAGAGCTAGCTTGGAATTGCACCTTAAGTGGCTGTCCTCATCAATTGGGCGTCGTCATCGGTCACCTTGTTTTGTCGCGTGCGAGGTATGTATAAATAAGTGGATAATGTTGCTGGGGGTTTATTTGGTACATGCTTGGTAGAGGAAGCCCTGGCCAGAGTATAAGAACTTCTATAAATGAATGTTATATTTATTCTCTCCAGTCGGCAAAGTGAACAGAGAACCTGCCTGGGAAGAGTACAGCCGCTCCTTATGTCTTTAATGAACCTACGCTGAATTATGAAGTGCGTGACCCAAGAATGGCTAAGGGTTACCCTGCACTCAAAGTACGCTGGAACGAGAAGTCCACCTCTTTACTATTAGTTGCCAGAATTCCCCATTCTAATCTTGGAATAAAAAGTCTAAAATTAATTGCTTATAAGTCGCCGTATTGTTCCATCTGTCCTGGCTGTGAATTAAAGGCTTAGGGTCCAGGGATAAAGAACCTCGTCTACAGAAAGTATTATGAGAGAACGAACCCGCGGCAGGAAAGTTTTTGACCCTCCCTCACCCGCTCTGGGCATCGCTATCTCGGCCTATTTATCTGCCTTAGGGTAAGTTAACCAGAAAATACTGGCTTGGCAAATAGCAAGCCGTTAAGAGGAAAAGGTATTGTTCCACGAGTATGAGCAGCTATTGGTGCTCTGGCGAGTGCTTTCAATAGGACCTCTCTCGGGCTATCGACCGATCTGGATAGGTGCTGTTGATGGCCTGTAGGTGGGTGTGGGGTCATCTCAAACGGTCCGTCCCTAAAAGCCAACTAAACATGCATCCCCTGCTTTTTTAACTCCCTGCTGGAATAAAGAGCTAACTATAGAACCTTTTCTCACCAATCGGACCCCCCAGATTACATTTAGGAGGGTGCTAGTTAGCAGGGATGTCAGAAATTCTGGATTGACTAAGCTTGGATCCTGGCTACGAGCCTGCCAGCTGTAATCGGGGCCCAAAAAGGAAACTCTCCTAGTTTCCCCGGGGAATCGGTCCCGTCAGCGCGGCCATCCAACCTGGGCAATCGTCCTGGCCCCTCGGCCTGCAAGTCAGAAGAAGGTGCCCTACTCTTTCGGGACTCAGCTCAGCAGTATGTCAGCTCAGCCAGCCTGGAATTTTAAGGTAGATGCGGCGTTACTAAGAGCACAAAACGTACCTGTGTATCCACATGCCACTGTGCCGCTTATGCATGCATCATTGTACTCATACTTGTAGCTGGTGAATCTGAATTTTATATTCAAATATAGCTTCTCAGCTTTCTATTGTGTTACAAGATTCTTTTTCTCCATCAAGACCCTCTCCATCGCGATTTATCTCGTCATTATCGGACCTCAATATTAAGGTTCATCTGAAACTGAAATTTCCTCATACCTGCAGCATTACTACTCATATTCGTACTAGCAGCCATGGCTGTCGACAAGGCAACACCGGCAAACTGTGGGAGAAGATTAATCCCACAGATTCTGGATGACCTCGCAGCCGCTGAGCCCGATCGCATCATTTACTCTTTCGCCAAGTCCTCGGACCTGTCGCAAGGTTTCCGCCATGTATCAGCTCGTGCTTTTACGAAAGCGGTCGACAAGACTGCCTGGCTACTTCAAAAGGAGCTGGGACGAACGTCAGAGATCCGTGCCGTGGGTTATATCGGGCCCCGTAAGTTTATTCTTGAAAGTGCAGTGTCTCGGGATCATCGAACGCTTGTCCCAATATTTCGGGCGGCTCTGAGCCTCTATCATCAAGACATTTGACTGACGAGATGATACCCATATGTTAGACGATCTGCGACAGATCTTGTTGACATTCGCCTGTATTAAAGTTAATTGCGCTGTTCGTTTCTCCTCACCTTCAATGAGTCTCCTAAGACTTGACCATGTTGGTCTGACTAATTCCTATTCCTATAGGGCTTGTTCCTCTCTCCAAAGAACAGCACCGAGGGTGCTCTAGCCGTTCTTAAGGCGGCGAATTGCAACATCTGGGTCAACCCCGCTGGTGAGAAGCCACCACAGCTCGTAAATGAGTTCTTACAGCAACGACCCATGCACGTCATGGAGCTTCCTGAGCTGAAAGAGCTTCTCCCCGAAGATGAGAGTGAGCTGGAAAACGTGGAGCCGTTTCCTTACACAAAGCGCTGGGAAGATGCGATTGACGACACGTTCTGCATCCTCCATACATCGGGCTCAACCGGCCTGTCGAAGCCCATCTCATGGACCCATGGGTTGATTGGCACTGTGGACGCTGTCCGCCTTCTTCCTCCCCATGAGGGCATGGAGCCCTGGGCGAAAGGATGGGATGATGGCGATACACTATATTCGACATTCCCTTTGAGCCATGTAAGAAACTTCCATCCCAATCAATCATGACTAAATGAAGGATTAGTGAGGTACTGACTATGTATTCTAGGGGGCGGGGATTTTGATGGACGTAGTTATATCGCCACTGTTCGGGCTACACTGTGTCCTTGGGCCTCGGGACGTGATACCCAATCTAGAACTCATATCGTCCATGGCGGACAACATCAAGATCGACATCTGGAGCATGATTCCTTCGCTAACGGACGAGCTTGGAGAAGCCCCTGACATCTTGCCAAAATTGAGCAGGTCGAAATTCATCTGCGCTTCAGGAGGTAAGGCATTTGTCACCAACACACATGTCTGCCCAGATGTCAGGTATAAGGACTTTTTGTCTGAGATACGGCGAAAAATCATCTTGTGTCAAACATTTCCGTTTCCACAGTAAGCTAACAGATGTAATTACTTTCCAGGACCTGTGAGCAATCATTTAGGCTCCAAAGTGAACGAGCATGTTCGTGTCCTTAACCTGACCGGTACATCGGAAGGTTTGTTCATCGGCAACTTGTGGGTGGACAGACAGGATTGGCACTGGTTTGCCTTTCATCCTTGGTCCGGGTTCGATTTCAAGATGGTCGAGCCCGGCCTTTACGAACAGTGGATTCATCGCAACGAGCACGCCGAGTTCTTCCAAGGTCTCTTTCATACCTTTCAAGACGTCAACAGTTTCAACTTTAAGGATCTGTATGTTCAGCACCCGACTAAACCAGGCTTTTGGGCGTCTCACGGCCGTAGCGATGACGTTGTGGTGCTTTCGAATGGATACAAGATCTCGCCTCTCGATACAGAGGCCCTCGTCACATCACACCCCGCTGTTGATGGCTGTCTAATGGTATGTCCAGTAGCCCTACAGAATTTTCACAACGCGCGAGAACTAGTCAATCGTTAATTATAATCATATGCTGACTTATATGACAGATCGGATCGGGCAAGCCACAAGCCGGCCTCCTTATTGAGCTGAAAGACCCAACCATCAAGAGGGACGGTGATGATGCTGAAGCGCTCTTCAACAGCATCTGGGCTGTAGTCGAAAGGGCTAACTCCCTGTCTCTGCACAAGAACCAGCTGCACCGAGACTTTATCGCCTTTTCTGAAGCAGGAAAGCCTTTCATCCGTACTGACAAGCGCACCATCAAGCGTCGGGCTACCATGGCGCTGTACGCCGACTACATCGAGCGTTTCTACCAGTCGCGTGGGGAGGATGACAGCGATGCCGAAGTTGCGGCGCTTGGCCTGCTGGCGATCGACACAGCATCCTTGGACTCAACAACTCGTGCAATTCGGCATATCCTGGCTTCGATCGTGCCTGCAGTCAAAGACGCTCCAGTGGATGCTAATCTATTTACTGTTGGGTTCGATTCATTGCTTGTGTTCAGGGCTACCAAGGCGGTAGCGGCGGTCACAGATTTGGGGGGAATATTTCTACCAAGAAACTTCTATGCTGGGCCAACGATTGAAGGCATCGCTGCAACTGTTGTGCGATTGGCTGCCGAGCGTAGAGCCACGACAACGAACGGCACTACTACCTCATCGTCGACCGAGCAGCAGCAACAAGATCCGCAAGAAGCCAAGATCAGAGCCATAATGAACCGACACAAGGCTCTTCTATCCTCCAAGCTTGGCCCGATGGACCTCTTCGGCGGGAACATGTACGAGGGGATCAATGTCTTCATTCCCCTCTGCCCAGGTGTCTCGTTTGAGCAGGCCTACAAAGTTCTCCAGCGAGGTCTGGTTCGCGCCATGGAGATCGTGCCGGCTCTCGCGGGCAAAGTCATACCATGTTCGGAGCACGAGATCGGATACAAGAAGGGAGATGTTCGAATCAGTCTCCCTCCACTGCCTTCCACAGCGTTGGGTATCACTCCTTCCGAGGAGCCCAGACAATTGCGCTTCCGCGACCTCTCGACCGTCCTGCCATCCTATACGGAGCAGCGCGCCTCTGGATTCTTGACCTCGGCTTACCCTGACGAGCTCCTGACTGATTGTCCCTCCTTTCCTGACTTACCTACGGATGTACTCAGCGTGCAGGCCAACTTCGTCGACGGCGGCTGCGTCTTGGCCTTCAATGTTCATCATCACGCGTTTGATGGTATCGGCATGCTGATTGCGCTAACGGTATGGGCAGAATGCTGCCGATTCGTCCAGGGCGATCAGTCTGCGACTTCCGAGTGGCTGCACCCAGAGAGTCTCAATCGCGACATGCTGTCTATCTTGTACGAGGTGGAGGGCTTCGCAAAGCCGGCGTCTGAGGTCGACCCGAGAGTTTGGGGCTTTTTACCATATGCTGATCCGGCGCTGAAGCGCAAGCATCAGGAGAAACAGGAAGACATAGACATGACAGAGGCAGCCGCGGTCAATGGACATGCCACTGAGCCCAACGTTAAGAGGGCTCGTTTGTCTCGACATCTGCCTGAGCCGCCTGTACTCCCCATCTGTGAGAATTGGCCACCGGCGCCCCGCGCCGATGGTCGCACGTTGACGGCGTCGACCTTCGTCATCTCAGCCGAGAAGGTTGAGAAACTCCATAAGAGCGTCGAGGCTGCCGAAGCCGCGGACCCGGAAAGTCAAAGCCTGAGCAAGGAATCAGGATCGCTATCTCTCGGCGATGTGCTACAGGCCTTTTTCTGGCGTGCCGCCATCCGGGCACGTCGTCCTGCCGAGAACTCTTCCTCCGATGACATGTCTATCATCGAGATGCCAACTGACGTCCGACCTTACTTCAGTTCGCACCTCCCGCCAACATACATGGCCAACTGTGTCATCATGAACCGGCAGCACATGTCCGTCTCGGAGCTCTGCTCTTCCCAGACATCTCTCCACGAAATTGCCCAAATATGTCGTGAGGCTCGCACTCGAGTGGATCAAGAACTTGTCCACGATGCCTTCAGTCTACTACATACGATTAAAGACAACAGCCCAGGGAACCATACAACGGCGTTCCTTGGCCAGGGCATCCAGGACGGACCACATTCGCTCTTCAACAACATGATGCTCTTCCAAGCGAGCGATATTGGACCTTTCGGCGGCGATATATTCGAAGCACCAGAAGCAGTGAGGGTCCAGATGGATTGGCTGAACAAAGCCTTTAGAAGTCTGTTCATTTTGCCGATGAGGAAAGACGGCGGTGTCGAGTTGCTGCTGGGGACCTTGCCCGAGGAACTGGATGCGATGAAGAATGATCGCGAGTTTATGCAATTTGCCGAGTTTCTTGGATAGAGAAAGATAAGGGAAGACAGGACGGAATGCGTAAATACAATGGGCGGGTCCTTTGCAGTCAATAATATTCAATCTCAATGATATTCTACCATAGTAATATCCTATGTTATGTTAAACGATTCTATTCCATTTTGCTTGCACAAAGATAAATTTCGGTGCTGATTACACTATTTGTCATTGACAGCTAGAAAATTCATCACCACGATGACGCTCTACCGTGCTACCCTTCAATCAGCTTTGTCTCGTAGCGATCCTATGGAAAAGAAGATCCGCAAAAGGTTTGTCCTACAAACGTACAAGTGTACAATGAGAACGGAACAGGCCCGATGCAAAACTAGATGCAGGAACATAAAAGCGTCTGGGTACTCGTAGGACCTCGCAACCGAGAGAGCTGATTCCGCGTCCGATGTCAGCGACATATCCATATTTAGTTCGTCCCCGAACGGAAATTCTCCTAGCGCTTAAGCTACCCGAGCCATTTGCCTAACTGGGCAATGGTCCTGTAGTGAGCTGCAGCACCGGTCAGCGGGATTGTCATCCTTGCAGGCCTAGCCCCAAGCCCTCGCAGCCCAAAAAGATTGAGGCACTTCTCGGCCGGAGGTGGCTCATTTTAGATCAGTACTTGGGATGACTAACGGCCTGTGTTCAGTCTCGAGAGTTAGGACGTATTTAACATCTTTTCATACATCTCGTCGAGTTTCACAACTCACTATCATTGTTACATTGCCCAAAGGTCTCTATTTCTTTACCTCACTCATCAAAGGTGAGCAGTCACAAATCTCCCTCGAGGGGGAATTCTCATTCTCACGTCCAATTGCTAAAATTTTTCATGATAGTATAGGCGATGGATGTCAGCAAGCACATCACCTCGCTCCTTGCGGGACAGTCTCCTTTAGTAGGAGCTTTGCTTGTCGCTGTCGTCGCATTGGCGCTTCTGATGTTGATCGTGCCGAAAGACAATATCCCTGTTATCAACAAATATCCCAACGACTGGTTCTTGAGCAAGGCTCATATGGCCTTCATCACTAATGCGGATGGGCTCATCAAACAGGGGTTTGCCAAGGTGCGCGAAAGCTCGTCTTCCATGGCTTATGGAGAAAAGGGTGAACTGACAAATAAACCAGTTTAATAAGCCTTTCCGCATGATCACACTTTTGGGAGATAAGATTGTCCTCCCTGCCGACCATTTCGAATGGATGAGACGTCATGGTCCTCACCTCGATCACCAACCGCTGGTGTCAAAGGTACAAACACTTACCTTTCGGGCTGTTCCATTAGCCATTGGCTAACTGTCTATATCTAGGACTTTTTCGCAGGATACCCTGGCTTTGATGGCACGGCAGCCATATCGGACCCGTCTAAACTTTTGGCCAATGTTATCAAGAAGAAGCTTGTTCAAAACCCCCGTGAGCCCGACCATTTACCCTCGTCTTGGTGTAAGCATGCTGACCCGAGGCTTCCTAGATGTTAGCAAGCTTCACAACATGGTGCGAAAAGACATAGTGGCAGCTTGGCCGGGACAGAGTGATGGTATGGCATATGTTGAGCATCTACCCATTCTGTGATCTGTGAGCATCGACTGATAGCGAACATAGCATGGAAAGCAGTCGACTGGGCCAAGGATGGTGTCAGCTTTATCAGCCGAATGTCCGCGTCCGTCTTTGTTGGCGAGGAGCTGTCGCGCGACGAGACATGGCAGCAGGTCAGCACTAACTACGGCATGAATGTGTTCCTTGCAGCTCGCGCGTTGCGAGCCTGGCCGCGATTTTTGAGACCTATTGTACAATGGTTCCTCCCCGCTTGCAAGAGTTGCAGATCAGAAGTTCAGCGCGCTCGGGAAGTCTTGCAAAAGAACCTCGCTAAAAGGGCGGCGGAAGACAAAGAGCACGACGATTCTATCACCTGGTTCGGTGAGATTGCGGGCGGCAAGAGCTATGATCCTGTCGCCGCCCAGCTTGGAATGTCTATGGCTGCTGTTGTGACTACATCGGAGCTACTGAAGCAAACCATCATTGAGATTTGCGCCCACGACCTGGCGACTCCCCTCCGAGAGGAGATAGAAGCCGTGGTTGCTGAGCATGGATGGTCTCCTGCTGCTCTGACCAATATGCGCTTGCTCGACAGTGTCATCAAGGAGACACAAAGATTAAACTCTGCAGTTATAGGTAGGTTGATACGACGCTCGCCCCAGCATCAGCATCATATTAACATATTACAGTCAATCTCGACCGTCAGGTCCTGTCGCCGGTCACCCTCCCTAACGGCCAGTACCTACCCAAAGGCACTGCCATCTCAATCTACATGTCGCAGCTCCGCAACCCCGAGGTATATGACAACCCAGATACTTTTGATGCGTACCGTTATGTGAAGCTTCGTGCTCAGGGCGGGAAGTGGATCTACGCCAGTTCGGCTACCTCCACGAGTGAGGATCATTTTGTGTTTGGTATTGGTAAGCCTATTTGCCCAGGACGATTCTTTGCTATCGCCGAGATAAAGACAGCTATTGCTACCATCCTACTAGACTATGATTTGCGTCTAGCTGAGGGATATACACCCAAGCTGATGCCGTTTGGCTTTGAGTTGTTTGCGGATCCAGGTGTCCAATTGGAGGTCAAGCGGAGATCATAGATTTTAGTACAAGTCATCAGACAGTGAGGATGAATATTACCATGCCTAGTTGGCTTGTGTCTTATGATATTTCTCCCAATATGCCCATGCAGCTTCTTTGTGATACAGAAATTATCACCCACCAAGTATGCCCTCCTCTGTCCTCCAGCCCTAAGCCATCAATCGATATACACTGTAGCAAAGGGTTCAAAGGCTGTTCTTCTGGAGTAACTAATATAATCAAACTTTGTAATTTATCATCTATGTCAACCACTGCTATTCTATTCTAAAGTAGGTGAGAGTGACAAGGCAGCGCTATCGAATGCTTCATGGTAAGGAGCCCAAACCTGGCGGATAGAGCTGAAACAGTCACCATCTCTACCTCGGCATAGTACACCAGTCAAAAGACTCCTCTTCAACTATCTCGCTGAAGTTTTCACTTTGAGACTCACTTACTGACTTTTGTGCGACCCCGAGAGCTGCCTTAGCCTCCTCAGCCCCAAGGCCAAGCGGCTACATGCAGCAGCAGAAGAATAATAATAATGGAGAAAACTACTATTAAAAGACTCGTGTAAGATCTTTCATGTATGTAATAGGCTTAAGCCCTCCCGCAGAAAGATCAGGGTTTCTTGAGTGAACATGTCCTGCCATTTTGTGTTCCCCGAAGCTGCAGTCAGGAAGCCACAACAGGGTGGCGATGTTTGTGCCCAAAGCTTCAGTGCATTGTCTCACCCGATTTGTCGAGGGCTCAGTTCGTGCTCGGATTGAATGGATATGATTTTCGTCAGAGGATGGTTCAGCCTTCAAAGTGCACGAGGAATGCATGACTTATATTGTATAGTAGTCTCCCTTTCGCCGGTTGATAAGAACTACTTTCCAGGCCTTATTCTTCATTCATACTACGCTGTGCCTCTCGAGTGAGGATGGACGAAACACCAAGATCTACCAATCCCAACGATCATATGGCTACGTTGCAGCCACTACTGGAAGCCGAACCGCCTTCATCAGCATCTTCTAATGTTGCACCAACTGAGAAGCTCGATACGACATCGGAGAAAGAAAGCAAATATCATCCACAAAGCTCATGTACCCAGCATTGGGAATGGGCCAGCCAAATGCTGGTCTCATGTCTGGGCTTGGGAGATCCAGCGATATCCCATCAACGATAGATAACGTCGCACTCAGCCTGACGAAGTGGATACGAGATCGAGAGCTGGAGACAAGTCCAATGAGAGGGAAGGCCACACGTATGGTTATCATTACACATGTTCGATGGAATTACTTAGGGTTTCCTGGTGCAAGTCTGTTAACAGGAATAGTGTCTGTGATTCTGTGTATGTGGGAGACGCAGAAGCTAAAGAATCCAGCACTAAAGGATAGTATATTGGCGGCTTTGGCAGGTGCGCCAGATGAAGACTTGCGGTTGCGCCTGAAACAGGCTGCTGTGAATGGTAAACTACAAGAGATTGGGAGAAAGGGGAAGATTCGCTGGGAGGAAAACGACGAATTTACCCAGTTGAAAGAAAAGAGGGATGATCAGCCGAGCGTTTGATGAACGAATTCATAATGAGATGTAAAGATGAAGACAAGATAAATGATTCGCTATGATATTTAGTTGAAGTTAGACAGATACTATCTATTTTGAGTCAGGGAGCTCCAGAATGACACGTCTATACCTTCGGATCGGATATGATCCCTTGTTGTTGGTGACCTGAAGGATAACATGCCATTCCTTATCGACTGAACTGGGCTGCTCCTCTTCCCAACCAGTCAAGTTGGTAGAGATTCTGACCATTGGTCCCAACGCCACATTGCTAAAACCTGCTTCGTTCACAGCGAGTGTGCCATTTGTTCCTGTTGGTGGCGCCAGTGCCTCAACGGAGAAGAAGCTAGCAGCAAGACTAGTCAACATTGGTGATGCACACTCAGCATAAGAGTACCATTCAAAGTCCAGCCCAGATGAATCGTCCTGACTATCGGTATCGACAGTATTGCTGGCATCTAAGACAATAGCGTCCTTGAGGCCAACCTTGAATCGCAGTGGTTCACTACCCGTGGATCCGTTGACGTTGATGCTCGGCGGGTGAGCGCCCTCTTCAAAGCTATCAACCAGGGTCCATTGCATATGAGCAGCAAAGTCGTCTTGGTACGCATCGCGCCAGCGCCAAATAGTAGCGTAAGGACTGAACCAGCTCTGACCCTTGGTGTTGATCAAAGCATCCCCGGATGTACCATATTCGTTAATGTCAGTGTCTTCTGTGACGCGAGTATATCGACCTCCCCAGCCTCCATATTCTGGTCTACCGGGAACATTCAGCCCATTCTGGATATTCCAAATAAAACTGGGACTGTCTCCTTCCATTGTATAGATAATTTTAGGGTACTCAGCTCCGAGAGGGCCCAGACGAATGTTTGGAGTAAGCCAGCCGTCCGTCACTTTTGTAGTGTTGGCCGCGCCGTTATCGGCAGTAGAGATACCGGTCCATGTTCCAAGACGATACTCGCGATAGCCATGGACATTAACGATGAAGAAGACATCTGGCCATTTGACTCGGATGTAGGCACCTGTATCATCCTGGTCCGAGATTGAGTAAACCCTCAGTCGAGATCGAAGGTCAGCAGCTTCTTTCTTGCTCTTTGTTTCTTCGATGTGCTGCAGCGCTTGAGCTAGAGTGTTGGCTCCGCCCCAAAGACTAACATGGAGTGGTTCTTTGGACTCTTGAAGACGCTTCACAAGGAGTTTGGCGCCGTCGCTGATGGGCTCCTTGAGGGCCGCTCGTCCATATGACTGATAGAATTAGCTTGCGAGACTATTTGGACTGCCAGGAAACTCACCCGAGGCCCAGATGAAATCTGCTTCAACAGCTCCTCAGGTTTTGGATATTGATTCTCGGGGTGAACATGCTGGTTTAGCTTGTCAACAACCTTGGCGTATGCCTTGATGATCTTCTTGATTTCACTAGGATGGGTGTCATTTCGTAAGGACCAAGAAGTCACGGCGACAAGACCTCGGGTGTCGAATTCGTTTGAGTACAGTAGGTAGCGAACCATTGACATCGAGTCATCGGGCTCATTGAGGATGTCGGTAAGGATGAATGTTCTCACCCGAGACACCTTTGGGAGGATGCTTAAGTCAGTCGAGCCATTCTGCTGCGGCACGGCGAGGACTAAGCATGACTGCAGACAGAGGACTACAGACAGAAAACGTGTAAAGAACAGCACCATAATGATGTCGTGCAGCGAGTTCCTGACCTACGGTAGACCACAGACGTCAGGCTAGGTCTAGCGTTTATGTATTTCATGATGAACAGGTTTGTGACTGGGGTAGGAAACTGCCAGCCGACGTTTAGCCAAACTTTGCCTTGTTAATATCGTCTAGTCATGGTTTGTGCGTTCAAGGAAGGAAATCGGAAGCGTCATATCAATGAATCCCCGCAAACCCCAGGTATTGACCCATGGAGCTAATGCCTTCTTGGGTTGAAGGGCCGCTTGCTGGACTAGCATTCCCCGCACTCCGGAATACCAGTTTTTCGGATCTGTTTGTGATTCGCTGGTGTCTGAAAGCTCAGAACTCTTCCTTGTTAGTGAATTCGGCGGAGTGCTTATTCCTGCTTCTTCGGGCGACATCGGTGGACAACGACAAATAGCACGGTAACAATATTCGGCAGTCTGTCAAATGGGCTGCCTTGGAACAACAGAGCGTTATATCACTTGCACTCAGGTACTGGGCAGAGGGATTGTTTATATTGACTATCAGGAAAAACAGCTTGTCGTCTATAGCATAATGAAGCTTGACCTTCGGTGTTCCTGCGTTACACCGCAATGGCGAGAGAGGGTAACAGTATAACTCGAGGCAGAACTGCAACACTGTAACGTGCTTCAAAGCTTGTCTTCCCCCCAACCTATGGGCTTGGGTTGATTCTTTTCGTGAAACGTCAGACCCTGCCGATGATTCAAATCCTTTGGCCGCAATTCCGGATCAAGCATATCAACAAATGTCTGGTTAATCGTGCCGATCCTGAAGTTATAAATCGTAACAGATGCGTTGCGAGGGAAATCGTCGAACTCCTTCCCGTCATTCTCCAAATGATGGATCTTATCATACTCTCGCTACCCGGAGGGTCAGTCTCGTCCACAGTATGTATAGCTTGGAGGAGCACACTCACATCTCGGAATATGCTAAAAACAGGCACCATCTTGTACATGTTGCCGCGACCTCGTTGCCACCATGTACCAGCCCTTTTCCACCGCTTGCCCCATTTGAAGTCCGACGCCATTTTCTTACAGAATTGCTTATTCATGGTATTGAACAGCGCACCGTTGGGTCTGTAGTCAGATGGTGCGCTGCGGAAAATCTTTCCATCTTGGATATAGTAGGTGGCCCTAGTTTTCAGGATACAAGCCACTTTTGGTGTCTGCTGTATGAAGAATTGAGTCACAACGCTGAACGGCTTTTTCGAGTCGATAGTGTTGGTCGGTCCGGGGCCGTAGAACGGTTTCATTTTGTTCCCATTAGGGTTCCAGCGACAGCCAAACGCGAAGCACCTTGTTGCGCACTTGTCGTTGTCGCACTTATGATACCACGGGGGGAGACAGGGACTCCAGTGATAATCCGTAGACTCTATGTTTCCCTCCCATAGCACAATAGTGTGACAGCATGCACCGGTACGACCTGTGCCCAGCATAGGATCGTGCTTATCAGGAACCCATCCATCGTAATTAGCTCTTCCCTCGACGAACCTTTGCCCCTTGTCACATGTAGCATCGCAATACCCGGTTCCGTACCTGGCGCCGGCTTTGTCACCCTTTTTCTCGGATCTAGCACCATCCGGCCACATCCAGTTGAGTGACACTCTGGCCTTATAACCTGGGGGGACATTTCGAACATCGATATCGAAAGTATACTCTGAATCATGTCGGCGGACCAAAGGCTTATTCTCGTAACGCTCGTTTTCCTTCAAAGGCATTACGCGAATCAGATCCTTCGGAACATGAGGCGCGGTGGCGCCGAGGTCCAGTTTCAGTCTCGTGCCATCGGTCGATATGCCATGAGCTCGGTAGTCAGCGCCCTCGATACAACAGTCCACGGGGCAAGTATCTTTATCCTTCTTTTTACAGTGTGTTCTGTGCAAATCCTTGATGTCGAAGCGACCGGCGCAGCAATTCGTTTCACGTAGTGTGGAGTCCAGGACGATTGCACCAAAGTATTTTTTGCACGGTGCTTGAAAACAGTTATGCCAACTGAAAGGTGGATGTACCTCCTCTATATTGCCACATGGCCATTGGGCATATGCTGAAGCGAACAGCGACACGCCAAAGACGATGGCGCTTTTCATGGTGAAGGGCAGTGCTTAGGAGCAGGATGAGAAGACGTGATGAGTTAGAGGAAGGAATGAAATACAAGAACGAGGGGCACCGCATCCCCTCAGGACCAGTGTTCGTATAAGATTTATGAATTCTCTACCGTGAGGGGAAATACTCGAAATGAGGAGTCAATGGGAAGTAAGCTCTCAGCCACTAGTCTCAACTACGAAACACATTACCTCACGACTTAACGTTAGGCATTCAACCAAAACGCTGACCAATCACTACAGCATAGATTCTGATCTGGGGAAAATTTAGATTATACAGAAAATCTGATTAACAGTTGATGCAAGCCCTTGCCATGGTCTAATTGAAATACTCTTGGCTTTCTTTGACGTCTACTTTAGTGTAACGAGTATAGCAGCTGTGAGGGGTTGCCTTGACCTGTCGTCGCACGATGCTTATATGCTTTACATCAACTTGCGTTGGAAACTTACGATAGAATAATTTCGATGTCTTGTTACTGCCCTTTTTCACAAGCGCCATTATTAGAGTTACTGTGGGCTGCGCTGATAAACTTCATCACATGCATATTATTAAGTTAAGGGAGAACCCTACCATGAAAGTCAAGATTGCGTGAGGCAAACCTTGTTCCAAGCATTAGGGCTTGCCTACAAATTCCCTCGCCGTACTAGGAACCCAAAACTTACATTGTCCTACTTTTCAACGCACTTGAACATTTCTCTGTCGGCCACCAGATCCCTTTCTCATCGCCTACAGCTCAAGATGGATTTCCTTTCGCAGCTACCGGCACCCATCCGAACACAGATCCTCATCGATCTTGGGTCACCAGCCTGATCGGGAGACTCATCAGAGCATATCCCACTATGCTACAGCAATATATCGTTGATCGTCACATCGTCGTGCGGGAGGTGCTCAAGAAAATCACCAGTCTCGACAAAACTGGATGTCTACTCCAGGACGCTATGGCTCTCCTAAGCCTCGCTTACCTTGACCCAAAACAGTATCCAGGACAAGGACGGAAATGGGATTTGATTTACAAATTTAGTGGTCAATTCTATACACTTGGATACGGTCCTTGGGATGATGAGAGAGCCGGATTTCTTGTTCATTATGAAAAGCAAAGCTTCCCCAACACATTCGAAAATTTCGAGAAACCTACACAGCTGAAGGTCTATCGGCTTATTTCTCAAATGATCATTCGAATTGAAGACTACAGAAGAAAGGAAGACTACTCCGAACACACAAGACCATCATACCCTTTCAGGCAATTTTCCCTCACACATGGCCGCTCCTGGACCCCATACAAGTATAAGATGAGGTTGAAAACTGGAGAGCCACCAAGAGCTGAATGGCTCGTGAACAACGATTACTTGCCTTTAGATCAGCTGCATCAGCTACAACCTCGGCTACATCAGCTAAACATATTCAGATACCACCATTTTCATCTCTAAAGTCGAGGGAGAAATGTAATTTCTTAAGGGCACCTGCTTACAAAAGTTGAAGTCAGTTGTTCAGATTCCCTAGTATCCTTTGAAATCCCCCTCGAACAGAAGTTCTATTGGCCGCTATCATTTGTGTCTTTAGTCCTTCAAGCTGCACATGCTCTGACCTCTCTTGAGTTTTATGAGGACTACAACAGTGGAATTGAAGGCCACTTTCGATAGAGAACTGAATAGAATAAAAGAGTCAGTTAAATAGTAACACACTATTGAAATTGATATTTCTTTAATGTGTTGATGTTAACAGGGTCTCTTTTTTATTCACTTATACAGTTTTTTTTTATTAAGTACTGGATTCCGGATCAAGCCCATGTGGAGCTGAACGGGACAGAGATCTTGGGGAGGGGGGACGGCGGGCTAACAGCGCTTCTAAAGCCTCCAGGCACCCATAATTGAATATCGACTCCGTACCCCCGCTGCAATCCGCCTCCAACCAAAAGCAACATACTTTTCACCGAAGCAAGCTGCATCCAGGTAACATGACTTCGCCTCTCTTGAGCAATAGGCCCTCCTCGCCACCGAAAGATTCACGACGTAAACCCGTGCCTGGCAGAGGCTTTCCGAAGACTCGGCGCGGCTGCTTTAATTGCAAGCGGCGTCGTGTCAAGTGTTCTGAGCACCGGCCCGAGTGTCAAGGCTGTCGCCGCATGCGCTTACCATGCATTTATCCCGCAGCTGTCCTGCCTGATCCTCAGGCAGTCCCTTCAGCGCCCATAGTCAAAGTATGCCTCGATCATCTGCGGTTTTTCCATCATTTCCTCGCCGAAGCATACCCACCGCATCCGTATGGCGCCTCAGCTGTATGGCAAGATGTGGCTGCGCTCTCACATAAGGTAAGTCTCTCCGTCGGCCTGTCTCCAGATGCCATGTGTAACTTGAGTCCACAGTATGAGTTCCTGGCCTCAAGCATACTAGCTCTTGCTGCCCAGCACCTTACTCTGTCCAATAAAGCCGACTACTCTGTGCAGGCTCTAAATCTCAGAATCTCAGCTATCAGAGGCTTAAATGATGCTCTATCCCAACCTTGTCATACCGCAGCCGATGCAGACGCTCGTTATGCTGCAATCATCGGCCTCACCTTCCAGTCTACCTATATGCCAGACGGTTTGATGGAATTTATAGCGATGATGCGTGGATGGATGCTCATCTCGACTACTCTCGTAACTGACCATGGGATATCCATGTTCCGTCAATTCACGCGCGATTCGTGGGTTGGAAGTATAGAGAAGTTCATGGAGGAGCAGCACGGAACCACTGATGATATAATGATTGAAGACTTCCTAGCTTCTCTCAAAATACTCCGACCATTACTCCAAGGACAAGCTGAGCTTCAGTACTTCTCAAGACTGGAGAGATTAGCTCTACTGGGCAAAGCTTCGCCACGAGACGGTTTGTTTTTATTCTCTTTTCACCATTGAGAATATGACTAACAGTGACAGCACTCTTGGAAATGGTATTCTGCTACGCTGTGACAAACAAGATGACAGATGAAGACTACGTCAGCTTCACGGACCCTTCCAACTACGGGGCCCAGATCCTTCTTGCGCACTTCTTGATACTGAACCACATGCTAGAAGAATGCTTCCTCGGCACTATGAGTAGACGGTTTTCTTTTTCGACACGGATCACCCGGTCTTGGATCTTGAATATTGGGAAACGTTTGCCTGACGAGTTGCAAAGGTACATTATGTGGCCATTGTGTCAGGCAAGAGACCTTACTGTCTAGACTCGGTTGATATGTTCCCAAGGGGTATGAAATTGAAGGGCGAATTGGATTTGGGAACAACAACACAGCCTCCCGAAAACTGTTTTGATGCAGGCTAAAATGGGAATAGTACCGCTCGGTCTAGTCCGATGCCCCTCATTCTTTCTCTTATTTTGAGAAAACGACGAAAGCGACGAACGAGCCAATCATGGAGCCTCAATGCGCATGGTCAGTGCGGAACAGCCAAAAGCTAGACACTTGACTACAGTCCATAACCTATTGAAATTCGCGTCTCATGTCATGTCAATCCGAACGCGTAACTAATCTTCGTTTTCCATCTGCGAAACGACGCATTGTTGTGCCATTATGCTGGTTCAGGGGCTGATTTGCAACATGGCTTACGACTCCCGGCGAGGCTTCCCAGTAACAGCGTTGAGCCAGTTGCTATAAAGGTGCGAGAAGCTGCAAGACTAACTTTATTTTCTCTACTCTCTATACCAATCAGCAAAATCTCGATATCGAACATTTTCCACGAACATATATCCTATCTACAATGTCTACCATGATACTGTCTCTCACTACACTCGCCCGTGCGTCTTCAACTACTTCATCAGCAACCCCCTCATGCACAACTGCAGTGCCAGACAAGTACGGCTATGTCCCTCCGGACTCTTGTAACGCCAATTATGGATTCTACCCCAATTGGGAGGATAACACAGCCTTCGCGGTTGCCTTTGGCTTGTCCACGGTGGCTCACCTGGCCCAAGCAATCATCCTCAAACAGGTACTTCCGTCATATGCTATGGAGGAATAACAGACTGACATGGCTAGAAATTCTGCTGGGTCATCATTATGGGAGCATCTTGGGAGTGCATCTGTTTCATCGCTCGCGCCCTAGGTGCCAGGGACCAACAGCAGGCGGCCTATGTCACCGTCTCGACTCTGCTATTTCTACTGGCGCCGATTTGTAAGAACTCCATTTGTCACGTGCGATACTCAGCTAATACTCTACCCAGGGATCAATGCATTCATATACATGATCGTCGCCCGTCTTGTCCATTTCGTCATCCCGCAGCGGCGCGTAGCCCGCATCTCAGCACAATGGCTTGCCAAAATCTTCGTCATGTTCGATGTTATGTGTTTCATCATCCAGGCTGCTGGTGGTGGCATGCTCGCTTCGAACAATGCAGATACATCTAAACTCGGACAGCATATATATATGGTTGGCATTGGCATCCAGCTTGGCTGCGTAGTCGTCTTTCTTGTTATCCACGGCCTCTTCTATCGCGAGCTCTCTCTGAATATTCGTATAGGCAAGCAAGAGACTCGAAGCCGTTGGTTGAAGCCTCTCTGCTGGGTTGTCTATATAGTCCTTGTCCTCATCGTGGTAGGTATCCGATATAACTGGTTTGCGTGCCATAGCTGATTCGGTTGACTAGGTTCGAGTTATCTTTCGCCTCGTCGAATTCGGCGGTGGTACAAATAGTAACAATGTGGTCCTTCGACACGAGGAGTTCCAGCTCTACCTCGATGCGTTGCCGATGCTCATCGCTTTGGTCTTGCTGAACGTGGTGCACCCTGGTCAGGTATTGAAAGGTCCTGGTGCCAACTTTCCGTCAGCGAAGGTCAAGTGGTGGCATGGCCGATCAGTGGCATTTGAGAGACTCGAGCTTTCGTCGACACACAGGAGTGGATAATTACTTAACGATTGAATCGAGACGACCCGAGCTTTCATGCCGACGTTTTTAGGGGGCTTTACAGACAAGAGCCGCAGCACAATCCTGCTGGTAGATGGCAGCTAAATAGAGACTACATAAGTAAATTCTAAAGACAGTATGGGGGCGAAGAAGGATGGGATAATGCCTTACCATGGTGCGGCGGAATGACTACCTTTTCAGTTCTACGCGAGCCATGTCAGGAGTTTAGAGGCTATTCAGTCTTAACACTAGAATCAGATAAACTTGATTTGACAAAAAATACTTATATAGTAGCAAAAACAGAACCCCCAATAACGCAAGCTAAAATCATACATGTTATGGCGCCCGCCCCTACCTTGTCCATCATTGTGATCTTTGCATATTTCGGTTTCGACACATCGACATCCATGTTCGTCTGGCCACCACCAGGATTGCCTTTTGACGTTCCTCCAGTCTTGGTTGTCACTGGCGCATTCGCTTTCGGGGCGAGGGTGTACATGATAGATTGCAGAGAACTCATTTGCGGTCCAACCCCGACAATTCCGTCGAACCCGTTGGTCAACCATGTAAAGCCGCAAGCTGTGCCAGCCTTGCCTGCGAACCCTGTGGAGGGTGATCCTGTACATGAAGCGGCGGCCTTCTTTGCCGTCGATAGCAGCGTCGCTGTGATGTATTCAGAGGTATGGGGAGCCACCAGTGCGGTAGCTGCCATCCAACGGGCGAGGTATCCTTTGAAGGTCTGTTGGTCGAGATTACAAAGCTTGTGCTCCTCGCAGAATTGCTCATAGATAACACCATTCTTCACAAACACGGTCTTTATGTCCTCCAGCAGACCGTCTACTCGGGTCTTCCACGAAGCTTTTCCGGTCATGTTGTACATGGTAGCTGCTCCATAAAGATAGACACCACTGTTGTAGGTCCATTGGTTAGTATCCATGGAGCTGGGGCATTTTCCTTCGAAATGGACACCATCTCGGACCTGATAATCGCTGTTGATGAGTCCGATCTTGGTTTCCCAATCCCAAACCTTCTCAGCCCAGTCCCCGTAAGTGGTATTGCCAGTATAGCGAGCGAGACGCGCAGCTATGTTGAAGAAGCAACCGTTCGAGATGGAATTTTTGTAATCATATCCTGCATTCCAGGTGAAAATTTGCCATCTCATTCCGCCACCACAGTGCTGTGTATCCCAACGGCTAACATATTCGTTGAAAACAGCCTGAACTAGTGCTAGCCATTGCGGTTGGTCTGATGGCGGGTTAGGGTATTTATGTTCAGCTGCCGACATAGCAGCCACAGCCCAAAATCCTTGGTCATCGTTGCCTTCTGTCATAGTCTGGTTGTCGGGCATATAGTCGTCGTTTGTGCCGACCTGATGCAGCATAGCCTGTGTAGTTATCTTATTGTAGCTCTCATCGCCAGTAAGCCACCAGTAATCGATTAATGTACCGAACATGCCCCCTGCCGTCCACCCTGCTTCGAATCAGATGCTGAAGTCATCATGTATTCCTCTTCGTCATCACTTACAATAATATGGATCTGGCAGGTTGCCTGGTGTATCACCGGTATTGTTACCAGTGTAGTATTTCACTAAGCCATAGGCAACAGTACTAGCAGCTTGTTTGATAGATTCTGGACATGGTAAGTTACCCAGCAGCGAAGAATCCAAGACCGGTTGACTTACTGTCGTCGTCCCATGATACATCAATACCTTGAACAACTGCTGCCAACGCCCAAGTCACAGCCAACGACGCTTTCATCTCGCCCAATGATCGACCAGCGGGGAATAAACTTTAATGCTAGCGCAGAGGGAGACTCGACTCCACGGCTTATCTCTCTCATCAACCGAGCAAGATCGAAAAGCCAAGTCTGCTATCAAGTCCAAAAAAGCTCATGAGTTTTATCAAACGTACACGCAATAATTAGAGCGAGCAAGAAGTCTTGGTATGGGATCGAGACAGTCTCCTGAATTAAATGACGAATCATGTGTCAAAAGGGGTTAACCGGCTAGCAAGGAGGCGCAGCCGTGCTTTTTAGTCAAGAAACGGGGCCGAAAAATTGCTTCAGGAAATTCAGGTCAAAGGAGGCGAAGCAATAAACACGAGGAAGCGAGAGCACAGATTACGCAATCCCTGCGCTATGGATTCGCTTAAGATGCCGGGGAAATAGGTAGCATGGATCAACTAAGTCTAGACTCGACCCTCATTTCCAGTTTATAAGCTTCCGTCTTTTCCATGGAGAAGAAAATCACGGGCGAGTCATTCACAAGCTTACGTCTCTTGAGACACTGTTTGAGAAGGTCGCGGGACATATCAATCTCACCCAGGAGAGCCATACAGCAGATCGAATGTAGTGGCCAATGCAACACCTGAATGCCAGACAACAACCTAAGATTAAAGTTCGTCTAATTAATGTCTCATTGTTGGCGGTTAATTTTAGATACGGTGCTGTTTTTACCGTAAAAGATGAGACCTAGCTCATTACAGAGTATTGTCGTATAGAATCACTCGGAAATACGCGCGTCTAAATTACGCGTGGCCCGCACACGGAAAGTATCATTATCAGATGTTTTGAGGTGGCTAATTGAGACAAAGAGACATTGGCGTACCCTATAGAAGTCGATTTGCTATTTTAATAACTGCCCTGACGGTAAAGAAAGCTTTATAATTTGAGCGCAGTCATATTTTAATCAGTCCGCTCCTCACCTCTCAATGCCGCCATGGCATGGAAGGATGAAAAGCATACAGACTTCTGCTATCGGCATGTTCATTCCGTCTGAGCTTTCGCGCGCGTTACTTCAACCTCTTTGCCAACTCACCCTGGCGCTAACCACTGCAACCTCAACTCGGCTACAGCATCACTTCCCCAGAACCCTGGTCGAGGCAAAGGATCATTTACTTCACTCAACCGAGATGCGCCAATTCAGCGCCCTAGAGATCTCGACCTCATCCTTGTCGCCCATCTCAAAAGTGCAAGGCAGCCAGTAAGTCGTTGACTGTTCCAAGCGACTTGCGAGCACTATTATGTATAAAATATGCTTTCACCCCGCATGCCTCGCGCCAAAGTTGCTTGATTATGATAGGGACAGAGTAGAGCCACGCCAGATTGTCGAATAAAATTGCCGATAGATCCGATGTCTACGTAATGACAGCCGGCTTAACTCCGGATAATCGGTATCATGGCAGGACAGTCGATCCCGAAAGTATATCTCAAGCTGAGGAATGCGCTTCAGCACTTGCGTAGTTTTTGTGACCATGATTGCGCGCCTGTATAGTTGATATATGTGATGCATGACCGGTAGAAGGTCACTGTTCTGCTTCTCGACGACCTTTTCTCCATTGCCAAATAGCTTTGCACCAAACCCAAGTCTCAATAGTACCAAAGATGCCGAGAATTATCATCAAGGTTATCTTGGTTCTTTTGCTAAGGCCCAGAGAGTCGAGATTGAAAGCTGGGTAGGAGGGATTGGGCCCTGCAGTCTCATTTCGCCGAGTCTTGCTTTTGCTGCACTCTTGTGTCATCCATCTGTGATTGAATGGTAAATTCGACGGCATGTTGTTGATTTGGATGGTTGAAAGTCTTTGAAAGGAGCGGAAGGTGGATATACGTGGTCGAATGGAAGCGATTGTGATCATGATGTAGACCAACGGGGTCGTCTGGCTCTGGTAAGATAGGAGGTATCGGGAGAAGGATTGAAAGAGTTGATGATTCTCAAGTGTTGAAATTGACGGACTGGTTATATAATCGGAGACCAGGCATTGTTCTTAAATAGACACGATGATGAAGTCAGCCTTCGTATCGCGTATCGCTCGTATCGCGTATTTGACCCCACTTTGATAGAGCAGTATGCCCTCATCAAAATGACTTGAGCAAAGATCGAATTGTGTCATTTTCAGTATGGATTGGCCACTTGAGATTGACCGAAGCAACCAAGTCTCATTGGAATTGGGCTTTATGCCTTGCGTTTGCAATGCCATTCAAGCATCCATTTGCACTTGTGAGATGACCAATCAGGCAGAGCGCCAAAGTAAAGAAATCGAGAGCTTTCAGGGCTGGGGACTCTCAGCAAGCTTCAATGCAATGGCCGGCTTCAGCTCTACGACAGTGACTCAGATCTGGGGCGTCGGAGCCTGGTCTCGTCACTTCAGATCTCGAGATGTCTCCTCGCCACTCTCGTCCTTCATTGGTCGGCCCGAGGCATCGCGAGACCATCCCTGCTCCACTTTGTCAGGTTGTTCGTGTCCATACCGTGGTAGGCCAGCCATGGTGGCAAGACCATCAATCCCTGTCGTTGCTGAATGACAACAACTTGCACCGATTCTTGGAAAGAGAGATTCCGCGGACTATACACCGAGTGAAGGATCCGCATTCAACGTTATCGATGGATCAACTGACTTCTGATTGTAAAAATTAATATCATCATTTATCATTCAATCGCTATATACTTGCTGCGTAATATCTATATCTATCAATTTCTTGACTTTCGTGCCTAAATGGAATTGTCGCCGCATGAGAAGACGCCACGAATGGAGCTTTTGTCGTTCTCAAAGATGTTCAACAATTCGGTAATGGAAGACCATAGACCTCCACCGTTCATGAACAACGACTGGACGATAAGCATGCCGTTAATAATGCAGAGGGCAATCTTCTTCCAGTTCTTGGTATACTGGCCCTTATTGATGTGGAACCAGAAGATGGCACTGAGACCAAATGTGAACCAGGCGATCGTGGTGGCAGAGGAGATGGAGAGGATAGAGTCGAAAATGGGGATGGCGTTGGAAATGACAAAGACAATGATCCAATAAAGGGTCACACAGGCAACCCAGATACTCCAAGACTTGACACTTCGGTCGGTGACTTGGTGGGTAGCCTTGATTGATCGCATGGCGACAACATACATGTACTTAATGCCGGTATGACCGAAAGCCATAGCTGTCGCGAACACACAAGGAAGCACGAGGCCGTAGGCAACCTTGGCGGCGATTCGGGGCGCGGATCCAAGAGCTGGAGAGGTAGTAAAATCGCCTGCCAAGCAGTATATCGCCACGGCGACGATTGTATAAAGGGTAATAGAGAAGACCTCAAGGCAAGCCAAAGCCATGGGGAAATCACGGCTAGGGTTCTTCATCTCGGCCATGTATGAGACGAAGCTGATGTTTCCGGCATAAGCGTAGCAGATCTTGAGACAAGCGTTGAGACCTTGTCGGAAAGTTGGGTTGCCGATAACCTGGATCTCGCGATCCCATCCGGGAGGAGCCTGAGAGGGAGTATCGAGGCCCAAGCTGATCATGACGGTAAGAGCGGCGGCTAGAATGCTGATTGTAGAGGGGATACCAGATTGCGAGACGAATTTGACGGTTCGAGGAAGACAAAGGACCCAGCAAGCGACGACGGCGATGATGACGAAGCTGACGGTACAGAAGGCATGGTTGCTCAGGGTGTTGAAAGCAACCGATAATGTCACACTGGCAGATGCACAGGTCATCATAACCTTGATCATCAAACCGATGCCCGCAATGATCTCAAGCGGTCGACCGCCGATGATACCGCACATGTCGACGACGTTGACGACGTGGGGATACTTTCTGTAAAACTGGAGGAGTTCATAGGCAGTGTAGGCAGAGAGGGAACCAAGTCCAATGATGGCAATTATGCCCGGAATCACCCCGAGGACTGATCAACATTAGCAAAACGGCGTAGCTGAGGTTGGGAACAGAATCTACCTTTCAAACAACCGGGCAGAGACAATACACCAAGTCCGACTTGGTTGGTGACGAGGACAAAGACTGTGTCCCATTTGCCGAGTGTTCTGTAGTTCTTGCCCCCTTGGTTGAAAATGTTTTGCACGGGCTCGTCGGATTGCTCTTTGGAGTCCATGATGTCGCCGCCATCGTTGATAGTGTTGATCTCATCGCCGTCGATGCCGCGAATGGAGGCAGCGCGGTGATGCTCGGGCTGAGCCATCTCAGGCTGGGTCTTTGTCGTTTTATCTTCAGCGCCCATATTCAATAAAACAAAGTAATAGTAGTCAGTAATAAAACCTCAATGCGAGGTGAGAAGGTGTATAATGGCGGGTTATGGTCAGCGACAGTTTGACGAGATGAAGACCAACCCGAACTTAACATCGGGCGATGCTAAATCTTATATACATCCGCCAAGGCCAAAAGTCTCCAGATCTTTATCTTCCGTGGAGACCTTGTAAAAAACGCTCGTCTCGTTATCTCTCGCACGGAAGGAAAAAAGACCCCATGGGGGAGTGAGTCTCTCACGTAACAGTTAGCAAATCTTCGAAAACCATCAGGTCATTGGAATGTCCATCGACCAAGCGAAAAGAAACGGGGCCGTGGATTCGAAAAAATAAAATGGAGTTGGTGTTACGTTATGTGTCAGCGATCTTTGCTCAATGAGAATTGGTTGGTCAAACGAGATGAACAAGAGATCTCCATTGTGAAGTGGAACGGAGATAAGAATGGCATGGTTGATTCAACGGAATCTTGCGTCAATTGTCTAAGGGCATCGCTAAATATGTTCTGGAGAGTGGCCGTCGTCGAAATGAGGCTCTCGAGCGCTGGCTCAAGGTGAGAGATTCGGTCTAGCACACGGCTAAATCAGACGCCAAGTAACAAGCTTATTTGCGCCTCGTACGGTGTCGGAGACAGAAAAAAAAACCTTGTAGGGAAATCTGCCGGCGGTATTCAATGTAAAAAAAGGTTCAGCATTTCCGTTACGCGAAAAATACCTTGTTTTGACACATGCATTGGCCATTTAGTGGAGTCGCCCAGCCTTTCACAGCATGCCGTCCGTAGTATCCGACACCGGCGCTATACAAGTATTGCTATTGGAGAGAGACAAAACAAAGTCTCGGTGGTATTGTAAATTGTGTTGAGTCTATCGCCATTGAGGCGGACGGGTCACACATCGTAAGATTCTGGTCGGGCGGACTTGAGAAGTGCCGGTGAGTTTATTCCCGTTTATCTTGATAAGAGGAGGATCCATGACGGGTACATACTGTACGTTGGTGGGAGGGGAGACTGATCAGCATCCTACGTGTTCTAGAAAACAACGCGCCTCACTCTGCTGCATCCAAACCCTGACTCGCCCAGCTTCGCGCCCTCCAGAGTAACAGGGCGCATTGGTTGGAGTAAGATTCAGGATCTTGTGGGGTTATGTTGGGGAAATGAGGGGGGAAACCCAATTTCTCACTGTTTTTGACTCAGATGCTCCGGCTTTTCCTCTTGATTGTCCAAGATCGTGGGGATCTCTGTGTCTTGGCAGTATTAACCTTTCGTGTTGAATGACTAGCCGACATGCAACTGGCCAGCAACGCGTCTGGGGAAATGACTGATGCTGACAGCACATATCCTCCCCCGTGTTTTGGAGTCTTCCAGGGAAGTGGTTTCCTTGGGGTAATTTGTAACTAGTCGCTTTCCTTGACATCACTTTATCCTTGGCGGAGTTGCTCGGTACCGAATTATCCCGACCATTGAGGGCGCAATGTTATGTAAAAGCTCATCTTATTTACGACGATCCTGCTATATGTATGCTATGAAATAAACGTTATATAATCCACGCCACCCGCACCATCTCGCTGACATTCCGTTTACTTGGGCAGCTCGCACTTCCAGCTGTCGGGGTTCTTGTAGTTGCCCTTACGGTCCCAGACATTGCGGTAAGGATAACGGCAGTGTCTTCGCTCAACTTCGACCTTTCCAGTGGTAGCACCGTTGACGTAGCGAACACCGGTGATAGTCTCGGGTGCCTTGCCTTCCTCAACCCACTTGACGAGAGCGAGAAGAACGTTGTTACTTGCCTCCTTGCCACCCAAGTTGGCGCGGTTATTTCCAATGCGATTGGCTCCAATTCCGCCTGAGCAATGACCGCAGCCACTGACACGGAAGTATCGGTAGAACTCATCAAGCTCAGTGTTGCTGAGACCCATGGTAGCTGAGACGTGGTTGTAGTATTCCATTGAGTTGTCGGAGCTGATGAGACCATCCTCGAGACCGTGCCAGTGAATGATCTTGGATCCACGCTTGCGGAACTTGGAAAGGTCTCCCTCCCATGTCTCGACGTTGAATGGGTTGACCTCAGAAGCCTTCTGGTAATCATTCGGTCCAATGGTGCTGGGATCCCACTTGGTATCGTTCCAAATAACATACTGGAACCATTCCGTAGAGTAAGGGAAGGGCGTCTCGCCGATCGCAAAACCGAAGCCCTGATCGGCCCCAGGGGGAATTCGAGGGTAGATGTATGTGCCGTTGTTACCATAGAGAGGACCAAAGACCTTACGGACTGTCTCGATCTGGGGCCCAGTCAGGCAATTTTTGGTTTGGCCCTTGCTGCAGACGAGAGCCTCAGGGCGGTACTGGCAAAGGTTGGGGTCCTCGAGAATACCATCTGCAACACCGTCAAGTGGCTCGTCGCATTGAACCAAGACGTTCTTTTGGACCATGGCCCATTGCTCAGGGCTGAGATGGGTAGCTGCTCCAGGGGGGCCAGTGATACCCCAGAAGCTTCCAGAGCGGGACTGCAGACCGTTGAAGCGCATGGCGGGAGCACCAGCCACAATACCATCGAAATCATCAGGGAAGCTCTGCGCCTCCTTCCATCCTTGTCGTCCACCAGTTGAGCATCCAAGATAGTAAGACTTGGTATGCTTCTTGCCGTAGAACTTCTTCGTAAGCTCTTTACCCAGAACAGTTCCAGTGTGGACTGAACGGTAAACATAATCCTCGACCACTCCCGAGTTCTTGTACATGGGGGCAGCTGAAGTGCCGTTATGACCGTTGTTAGCTCCAACAGTCGCAAAGCCAAAGCCAGCACCGTAAGCAACGTCATCGTACTGGATACATCCAGCCATTCCACCATTTCCAGTGCTCAGGAATCGGCCGGTCCAGTTGGAAGGAAGCCAAGCCTCAAGGGTAAGGTTTGACTTGGGACCGGTGGTGACAAACATAGCCACACGGCAGATCTCAACATCAGTGATGGTGCTCTTGGGCGTGCATGTTGGGTGGTTGTCAGGAAAAGTGATGTTTTTCCCAGCAGGCACGTGCTCAGTGAACCAGACCTTGGTGTTGGGCAGCTTCAGCGAGTTCTTGAAACCAGCGCATTTAGCCGCAAAGTCATCACCCTTGCCAGCAGCAGCACAAGCCCCCAGCCCCGAAAAGAGCAAAAATGTAGGACGCATAGTATCTTGCGGTAAACAAATATCAGTCGAGGTGTCGCTGAGAACCTGGGGAATAAAGCCAAGCAAGACAACAAGGCCGGCGGACAACATTATTTTATATCCGTCTCCCGCATAAACGTTTACCAAAACCCATGCCCTTGTATTTTGCGGGGGATCCTTGTGATAATTTTGAGCAAATACGCGGATGATTCCTGAAGCAGCAAGACGCCGTTGATCCCTACCAGATCAGCAACCCTCGGCAATACCATGGGAGTGCTATCGCGGATTGAGGATGGTCTGGCAGGGCGGTAGTTGAGTTCGTGAGGGGAAAAGAAGGGATGTTGAAACCTCGGCTGGCCTGGTTGGGAATTAGATCCGGGGTGCATGAACGGGGTTTATGGATTGGGGAGGAGTTTGCGAGTCAGTCGTTGTGAGGATGGGCAGAGATATCGGTCCGGATAATCTACTTGAGATGGAGACTAGTGTTATTATGGGTTCTGTTATTAGGGGCGCTGCAGATTTCTTGGAATGAGGCCATTCCTAAATTAATCTTGCGTCTTCATATGTGAAATCGCGGCACAATCACAGCCCTCGGCGTTTGAAGATTGACAACTCAAAAACTCACAAGAGAGTGATTTCCGGTGTCTTTAATTGCAACCGTTGAAATTTAGGCCTATGTCGCGGTCTTTTCTAGCACCGACTAGCATGAACCCCCCTGCTTAGCCGATCGATAATTGTCGCCAGTAAGAACCATTGCACATCTGTTCAGGAACCGGATAACATCCCGAATCATTGCGCGTCCAATGGTCTCCAAATGCAACATCCTCTTTGTCAATGACGGCTGAGCTGCAAGCATACGGAATACGGCACTTTGATCCCTGTACATCTACTTCATCATCACTACTCCAAAAAAATGTGACAGATGCGTGTTTCTGCAGCCTCACGAGTTCTTCAGAAGTTGAGTCAACAGGTGAAGTTGGAAATTCAATTGTTGTAGAACCCCTGTGAACTTTATCGCCATTTCCGTACATTCGTATTCCCATTGACGATGGAATACCCCGGATCCGCAACTAGTTCGATCATCTGAACTGTGTAGCACTTTTTTGACTTTTTCAAATCGGAATTATCACGGCGGTGACATTCTACCAGGGTGTATCAAATCACGCCATGTCCCCATAGGGAGTTTATGTCCATCCTGGCCATGTCACCGTCGGCCTCGCCCTAGCAATTCCCGTTACAGTCTGGCAAAACCATCTATATCCTGATCAGCAAACTATCTCTCCGGACAGACTTGAGTGACTTACTGCCCACATGTCAATAACGACATATTTACCCTTGCTCTCAGCTGGCGGCCGCTGCAACACGCCTACAGCTAGGACGTAGTTCAACCACTCATAATCCGGGTGCGCTGCCTGGAAAACGCCCCTCAACAACGTCCTTCCATCAGGCTGCGTCGGGCCAGAGGTTTGGATATAGATATCAACTCCATCATGAGTCCTCAGGTTGTATCGGGTATCGGGGAAGAAAACGCCCTTGGTGTCGGTGAGACCCCAGTCGGCACCAAGGTTAGTGACCGTTCCAGAAAGCTTGGGTCCCTTGAAGGTTCCGCCAGTGATGGGAATCACAACGCGGCTACCTTGACCGTAGTCGCCAATCGGCCAACGTTCGCCGAGGGTCGCGTTGACAGTGTAAAGATACTCGTAGGATGGCGTTCCCATGATTTGGGAGGCTGCCAAGATGGCATTGGAGGCGATGATGAGGGGAGTCAGGAGTCTCATTGTGTCAATTGAATTGTCCCTAGACTGTCTATCACAGCCAATCCATACTGGACCTTCTACGCTTTTATAAACTTGTTTTATCCTTCATTTTCCCCAGATCGTCAAGTCGCTATGATGATTCACCGATCATCGAGAACGGTGATCGGCTCGAGGTGAGGGGTCGGCACCCCACAAAGATCCATCGGCAATTGAATGCGGCACGCGCCGTTTACTTAGTTAAGAATGTCTTGATCCTGTAAAAAAGAGCTTCAAGGATGGGAAGTTTCTTTAACCGCTGCGCGAGTCAAGCGTCATGCGGGGAAAGTCGATTAAGGTCAGGGCATCCGAATGCTAGATCGGACAAGCCATCCGACATCACCGTTATGGTCTAGGGTTAGGATACCTTGCATAACTCGCTCGGCAGTTTATGCTTCCTATCACAACTCAGTTACTGTGACATCATAAATCACGGTCTCTGTCTGTCAATCGGGGTATCTTGTTGATCTCTCTCAGATCAGTCGTCGTCTTGAGCTGCCCGCTCAGCGTCATTCCTTTCTCTCCACATAGCGGCCCTATGGGCTTGTCGTTCAGCGCCCGCCCAAGTCCTCCCTTGTAGATGTTTCAAACATAGCTGTTTCCCGTCATCAGGGTAGTAAAGCCAAGTAGCCCATTTCGCCCACTGCTTATCGTCAGCAAGTGCTTTCACATGGCAACAACTGACGATGCTCGTCCAAGATAGAAAGAAAATACACTTACGAGGCCTTCCTTCATCTGAGCGCGAGCTCTTTGTCCAATCTTGTCCTCAATAAAGTCTCCTCGCAGCATAGCCAGCCGTGAGGGAAACACTCTCTCGAGGTAATGCGCTGTTGATGCAAGATGGGGTTTATCATGCCAGAAGTAAATCGGTGTCAAGGGTATTTTTACACCAGGATGTGTCGGATCTTCGTATTTCTGAGTAAGAGATGTTGACAGCTCTCGCAGGACGGGATGCTGTTCTGATACGGCATATGAGAGCATGCGAATAGCAGCTAAGCATATATACTTGATGGGAGTTTCATGGTGCGAATCATATGCTTTCATGATTTGTACAAGAGGTGCCACGGGAAAGTCTGCAACCAAAGCCCAATCATGTTGCTGCACCCAAACGAAAGGAGTTTGAGTTACCCTCAAGGCTGATCTGACTGCAAGACCGAATCCTAGTCGCCTTGCCGGATCTATAAAGGTGACTTTCTTGTCGTTGGTTTGCGATATCATGTAGTCAACGGTGTTCTGAGAATTGGGACTACCATACTCCGCCGTATCATGCCGATGGGCGAAGTCAGCACCGACATGGCGATATTTTGTGAGTATCAGGTCCTTGACATTCTTCTTATATGCGTCAAAATCTGCCGCCTGTTGAGGCGTCACTTGTCCTTTTTTCAATCGCGCTGTAGGTACTATCTGATCAAAAGTGTCGAATACAACAATAACGTTACATAATGTTAGAGCGTGACAATGCTCTTCAAATGATTCGAGGACTGCTGAGACAAGCTCCGTCGATGGCGCGGATGGAGTTGGCGAAGTTGTTATTATGACGGTGACCAATTTTGGCACGGTCGTATCTTGGGTCATTTCGCTGCGCTTGAATGACGTGAGGTGTCGCTGTCAATTGGGCTGGACATCGGCAAGCATTTACCCTGTATGCGACAAACGTTGGGCTGTGTTTGAGATCTGAGTCAAGGTAATCAATCGATGGCGGTGAGATTGGGCTTGAATGGGATGGGACGGGCTGCTTGGCCTCTGACGCGAAAATTTTGCCGGCCATGACGCGATAAGAGTCTACGGCCAAGGTAACGAACGGCAAGTCAATCAACACTTCTACAACGGTCGCAAGCATAAACTGCCGCAATTGAGTGCGACGTACCTTAGACCAACCTTCTCATGGCACCCAAAAGAAGAACTTCAGTTAATGCGAAAGGTTGAGTACTGCTGGTTGCTGCCTCGACGCGCGTTCAGATAACACTGTGTAACGTTGACGGGCAGAGTGCAACCTCAAATTGCGGGCATGCATCACCAGCCAAGACCAAAACCCAACGGCTGGACTAGACTCGTTTAACAAATAGCAGAACACTAAAGCAAGTCATCAGAACGTTTCATCTCGAATTCCTTGCTTTAACGAAGTGATGGACGCCCGTCAATCTGGGAATACCGGGTTTTCGAGACCCAGCCTCAGATAAACGCCCGATGCTGCATGGCAATCCCCGGAAGCCAAGGGATGCATCTAGCCGCCGCTGTCTCAGCACGTGGATCAATAACGAGTACAGAAGAACACTCCATTGCAGGCGGTTTCAACGTGTACTCGATTAATGGATACGAAGCGATACGTGTTACTGCATATTTCTTCGTAAAAATAGAAAGGCACTGTCTTAACTGTGCTATACAGTCCGGCCTTGATCCTGAGTGACAATAAGGCCGATGTAAACTTAGTCTAAAATTATGATGTTTTCGCTGAGTTTATTTTGACACCCTGTATTCAAGGTTTCATGCGGGCAGTGGCTGGTGTTGTCTCTCAGTGGGTCACTCCCCTGGAGCTAAGAAAACTCCCCAACCTCCAAGCAGCGACTCGACTTGGCTGTCAAACCAAACCCAACCACCAACATTTCCAGCTCTCCAGCCTTTGCCTTTCCAGACCGTCACTAAAACATGAATCAGCTCCTGACATTGTCGGTGTAGATTCTCATTCCTTTCACTCTCTACCCGCTATTTTCATGTCTTGTTCGTAAGACATTCTCATTCCAACATTTTTGTTCTTTGTGTTCGTTCGTTCACCGCATTTCACATCACAACCCCGGGAATCATGGCTGCAATGGCCCAACCAAGATATAATCTCGAGGATCCAGGTTATGAGCCTCGCACTGCTCGTGACGCCCGCGAAGCAGCTCGTGCTGCGCGAAATGGCCAGAGCCCGAGATACAGACGAACTCAATCGCCCGAGCAACTCGATGACTTTCGTCCTCAGAGTGAAGAATTCGACATGCGCTCACCTACCTCTGACGTGGCGCTGCAGGACGCCATTGTGGCACAAGCACAACAGCAGCAACAGGTGAGTTTTTTTCCTTGACCCGCGCTAGAAAACACTGTTTTCTGCAACATCTTTTCTCCGCGCCAGAACATCGTAATTAACCTCTTTCTTTTAGCGTGTTGTTCCGGTTGGTCAGGTCACTCGCAATGCCGGTCAGAGAAGACAGCCTCCAGGTCCAAACAACAACGCTGCTCCCAGAGGTCCACATCCAGGCCCAGGTCCTCAGCAACCAATGCCTCCTACTTATCCTGGCGGAATGGACGGAGGTCCTCAGCAGCAACCCAATGGCCCTAGAGATGGTGGTCGCTACAGACGACAATCGCGCCGCGGTTCGGAGTCTGAACCCCGACCTCATGGAGAGTCACCTCCCCGAAATGGACCAAACACCCAGCAAAGCCGTGTTTCTCAATCCATGGCCTCAGACCAGCATCAGCAGCGTCGCGCGCCTTCGCCAAACCGTCTAGCAGTCCCTGGCAACGACATTAACCGTCTCAACAGCCCCTCCATTCAAAAGAGCGTTCTTCTGCCTCTTGAGCAGAAGATCCACGAGTATGATCTTCTTATGAACGACGCTCAAGCCCAAATGAACCAACTCGACGATGAGATCCGCGCTCTTCAGGAACGACGTCGCCAAGCCGAGGACCGCTTCATCGAAGCCAAGTCCAAGCATGATGATTATAGCAGGCAGCACGACCAGGTGGGCAAAGCTCTTCGCGGTGAACTCATGCAGCAGCCCCCGCCACCCGCAGTTCGTCAGCCCGTTCAGCGCATGGAGAGCATCGACAGTTTCGAACATCGACCCGTCAGCGTGCAGAGCTCTTTTAACCAGAAGCCTAAGAAAGGAGGCTTGCGGATGAGCTTGTTCAATCGAAGCAACTGACTAGACAAGGGTTGCTTATGAAGTTATGCGTTAATGACTGGGATATTGCTGGATATGGGAAAATGACTTGATTTGTTTGGTTTTTCGAGACTTCTTGGTCGTCCGCGAAAAAGGACTTTTAGCTTATTTGTTTAATATGCTTGGATGTACATAGTAGATTGAGGAGGTAATTTTTCGCTCATGAACATTCGATACATCAAAAGATCTTGCTTTTTTCAATGACTCTGTGGGTTATTGTTTTTGGATCTCAGTGATGACGTCAGTGAAGCCGTAAGACTTTCTGCAATTGTCCGGTACAAACAAACCCCCTCCCATCACTAAGATATCTACCGAAAAGCCATCGTCCATCCATGATCCGCAAAAGATTGCACTTCAGCTACTTTCCACGCCTGGTATCATTCTGAAGCCTGCGCCTCCTGTTACCTCCGTTTCAATTGTCAACGCTGCTTTGTCCATCACCTACATGCTCATAAATCAACGTCTCAAACTCGAGTCCTTGCTCACTCAAAGCATCAACCACCCTCTCCAGTCCCTTGGGTCCTACATCACAAATTAGGGCCATGTATTCGATGAAAACGCGGTACTCATCATACTGGGCTGGGACATGCTCAACCTTCTCATCTGTGATGTCCATCGATGCCTGAGCTTCCTCGACCTCTTCAACCAGCCTGCCCAGTCGCGCCTGTACCTCCTCAAGTTCCTGAGACCTCTCTTCAAGGGTGGCGGATGTATTCGACTTTGCCTTTTCATGGACTCTCCATACAGTTGACCAAACTCCAGACCCTGCGGCTTCGATCACGTTCTTGGCGCTCTGGAGTTCCTTCTCGTTCGCTGCGTGAGCTTCCATGTCGGCCATGAGGGTAGAAACGGAATCTCTGAGCTTAGTTGAGGACTCTTTGGCGTTGGCCATGTCATCGTTCAGACTTCTGATACGGTCGGATGTGACCTCACGTTCACGCTCTAGTTCGTCGACGGCGGTTGATGAGAGGATGGGAAGTCTGTGTAGCAGTTTTAGGAAGCTATCCTTCGCGCCATCTTGGTGTTGTTTTAGTTCTAGAATCAGGTCGCAATCAGTTGAGCGGAGCTGGAGAAGTCAGCATTGCAAACATGTATAGGAAGTGAAAGTACCCCAGTGTTATTGCCTGTCGTCACTGAAACAGTAATCTCCTGCCGGCGCGGCTGCTTGGGGGAAGTCTCCAGGAAAGACTCAGCTGCAGGATGCTTGCGGGTCACGGAATTCGTTCGGGTTCTTTCAGGTGTAGGAATAGAAGGATTAACCTCAGATTTGTCGCTCTCGTCGGCTGCGGTCGCGTCCGTGGGGCCTTGGTGGTGATAAATGGAGAAGGCAAGGCGTGCGTTTTGAAGATGCCTTGGATAAAGTGTCGGCTTCATGCCACGCCAGGCGTCTGCAAAAGCGCATGTTACCAAGTAAGTCTTGATCTGGCGAAGCCTCTCTTTCCGTTGATTCGGTTATCGATATGGCTAATGGCGTGAAGAAGGAGAGTTTGCAGACTTTGGAGGGTACTGCGTGTCCAGTACTCAGGGTTTATGTCGCCAAACCAGGTATTGACATATTCGCCGATGAGACGATAGATATTGATGGCGACATTTGCAAGATTCTCGGAGAATACCCTGTCCCAGGGATGGATACGAATTCCAGTATCCTCGAATATTGCTGTCGCTTCTCGTTCGAGCCGTTTAAGTCGCTCAGAGAAAGGGTCCATGATTTTATGGTGTTTTGGCAATAAAGCAATGCAATGGATGCTTGAGGGAAGGAAGATTAAAGTGGGGCAATTTTGGATCACTGGAAAATACAATGGCTACCTGCCATAACGGTAGCATGTTTTTGGCAAGCTCGGATGGAGTTGTTTCCACGTTGTGATTTTCAGCTCAGCGGCTTATCAGCCTCAGGAAGCAAAAAACAGACCTTAATATAAGATACCAAAATAAATTTAGTAAAAGATATCCTAAAATTTAATTAAACTTAGGCTATACTTGCACTAACTGACCTAAGTCTTTTTGCCATTTAGGGTCAAAATCTTGAGTGTTCTTCCCTCCTCTCGACCAGATTGTTTATGGGCTGAGGTCGATGGACCTCCAAATGACGTCAAGGAGCGAAGAATTATAGTATTGTCCAGACTGATGTTCTGATTAGTGCTTAGTTCCTTGAATAAGTCTGCTTGGAGCCTTTCTGTATTGATTCCGGGAACGGGATGCAAATACGCAGCCGGAGAAGAATGATCAAGACTTGGATGTCTTGCGAGACAGCCACCCTATATCAATTTGGGCTTCCAACTAAGCGTTCCGGTTCCACTAGTCAGTCAATGGCCTCCCGTCATCTCAACAAGAGCAAACGTTCGCCCCATAAGGCTGTAAATTCTCGTGCCCAAAACCAATAATTACATTTGTCAAGTCCCACGTTGCCAATTCAAAGTTTCGTGATCTGCAATCGCAATCTTCTTTCAGCGTAGCCATCATCGTAGTCCGCCCTACGGATTACTAACGGAACGATGACGAGAGCTAAGAAGGTCGGCGGGGCACTTTAACGGAACGCGTTTCAATTGCGGTCGATCTGCCGCATTGATAATTATCAAGAACCTTTGCAATCAGACTCAGCAAAAGGACCTTTGACGTGTCAATTCACGACTCATGCATTCTAAGACATCATTATACCACATGAAGGTAACTTCTCCTGAGCGAACTGCGATGCAGAATCCTTTCCTATGATTCCGGACAATCCTGGTCAACTTCGGAAAGTGGAGCCATGGCTCTGGGTCTGGTAGCCGGGGAGCAGCATTGAAGATATCCGGGGATTCAGTAGCCCCTGAAATGGGCGCGGGACTTTGTAAGTCCGGAGAGCATAAACAAAGAAAGGAGGGGCTTTTGAGTTCGGTAAACCCGGTTACATTGTCTCAACAGGGTAAGCCATTCATGAACCCTTTCTTTCTGACTCTGTAGATGCTGAGTCGACCAAATAGAGCTGACACTGATCGTCGCTGATTGGTCTTCGGGAACCGGGACTCTCTTCCCGAGACGACGACAACATCGTCAACCGATAAACACTCCTCTTCTCAGCAAAGAAACTTCAGGCGTTCTCTGAAACGCACGACTCAGTGCCACGTTTTGACACAAGATGATCGTCCTGATTATCAAGTTTGACAAAGACTATTGAAGAGATCTTCAGTGAGGAAATGACTCGAGTCGGCAGCTGAGAGGACGGTTTCTTCACCAGATCCTTGGCGAATGTCGATCGTCTTCTAGCGTAGAATACTACTGCAAGCCTCGTCCGCATCTAATTCCCATGACATCCCCTACGGGGCGCGGATCTGTGCCTGGGCCTCTTATCACCGGAACGATGCTGCAAGACAGAGTTGTGATTGGCGATGGTTCCTCGGAGGACGGACTTGATCCATGCAAATGGCTACGTGCTTTCCAGGCAATAACTTGGCTTTAAAGGCTTCCCCTCCCCTTGCGTCGTGACTCCTATGCACACGCTGGTTTTTCGCATCGCTTTTTGTTTCTGCAGCCATGGGTAGTGCTGACTCCTTCGCCGCCGAGGCGTTTACACTGCTCTCTATTGGCATCTCGGTTATTGGGTTGCGAACGTTTGCGAGGATACGACAAGTCGGCGTGAGGAACTTTGAGGCCGATGATTACCTCATGCTGCTGGCGATTATCCCGTATACGATCGAGACGGCGCTCGCGTACACTGTTGGAGCAAAGTTTCATGGCTTGACAAATAGTGGGATGACGGATGAGGAGCGCAAGGCTCTGTCGCCGAACACTGAAGAATATACGTGGAGGTACGGATTAGGCTGATTGACCCTGCAGGAGACATGGGTGACTAAGTTTGACAGGGTTGGAGGATCCAAGATCCAGATCGCTGGTTGGATCATGTATGGATCCTGTTTATGGGTGATCAAGAGTGCGTTATGCGCTTTCTACTTCCGACTCACGGTAAGCTGGACACGGCACGAAACGGAGTGACAGGGCTAAGGACTTCAGGCTGGACTCACCGGATACAAAACTCGAATCTACATCGGCTTCGGCTTCATAGCCTCGACCTACATCGCCATTATATGTTGTATTCTCTTTAGTTGTCGACCGTTTAACCGCTTTTGGCAAATATACCCCGACCCAGGCAGTACGTCGAGATTCACAGTATTAAAGCAACTCACTGACAAACAGCAGACTTCTGTCATCCCGCGATATCCAGGCTTTACATCTTCATCATTGTCAGCCTCAACATCCTAACGGACGTTTACTTGCTCGCCATCCCTATTCCGATGCTTTGGGGCGCTCGCATTCCTAAGGTGAAGAAGTACGGACTAGTTGTGCTTTTCTCTGGCGCCGTATTTGTGATGGTTGCTGGTTTGCTACGATGTATCCTCATCCTCAAGGTACGCGACTTTCCATCATCGGAGTATCGTGAGGAGTTCACTGACCTCACCCAGAATCCCAAATCGGGTCCTATTGAAGGTGCTAGTTGGGCAGTCCGAGAATCCTTTGTTGCCGTCGTGACAGCCAATCTTCCCAGTACCTGGGGATGGATGCGACAAAAGCTCAAACCCATCTTCGGCTCTCTTCTCTCGTCCAACAACGTCAGCTCAAAGTACAAAGGCGGCCCCGAACCTGGAAGTATCATGCTCGCCGACGGAAATGGATCAAACTGGAAGAGGAGTAATGGAAGATCTATCAGATCAACGACGGGGCTTGGAAGTGTGAATGATCGGAATGTGTACATTCACGGAGGAGGTGGCGAGGCTAGTTCGGATGAAATAATTCCCTCAATGCCTGGGATTACAAAGGAAGTTGAGTTTACGGTCGAGGAATCGGATGCGAGGAAATGATGATCGATGCGATGGTACTTGATTTAGATATATATATACCCAGTCATAAGATGACTTAATTTGAGACAGACAAGACTCACACTTTCAATCATCCCTTAGATGATGTAACAGGAACCTGCCTAGGTATCTCTCATAATTGGCTCGGTAGATACTGGTACTAGTCTTTATTTGAAAACATGAGTTTGCAACTGCTTGCCATTCTCATCATACCTCTTCGGAATGACGTTCAAAATGCCATCAACGTCCCTCGGCTCATAGTCCAACATTGACGCAGCCAAAACCATGATATCCATTCCAAAGTTCTCCTTGATCCAATGCGCAAACATGTCCATTCCAGCGACGGCACCGCCCGCAGTCCAAATGTTTTCATCGATGACCCATTTCTTCTCATCAGTCCATTTGACGTTCGGAAATTTCAGTCTGAGAGGCTGGATAGCACCGTGGTTGACTGTCGCATTCTTGCCGTCAAGGACACCCGCTGCTGCCGCAACGCTGGCTCCAGTGCAGGTAGTGAAGAGAAGCTTTCCAGCTGCGACGTGCTTTTTGATGAACTCGGCGTACTTGGGATGAAGCTCGAAGTTGAAGGGGTCAGGGCCTCCGAGTAGTAGGACGTCGAGTACCGGGCATTCATCCACAGTTGTAGTCGGGACAATCGTAATGTTGCTTGTTTGAAGAACAAAGGCTTCACGAGTGATGCCAATGTGATGAAAGACGAATTCTGGGGCACGAGAGATTGTATCTTGCTCGATCTTGAGATAGCCAGATAAGGTCTTGATGTAGGGCTTGGAGCTAGAATGAAGAAGATCGGTTGGGCCCAAGACATCTATAGCTTGATAGTCATAGACAAGTGCACCTAAGTGGAGGGGAGCCATTTTGTCAGATTGGATGATATGAATTTAGAGTCAGGATGGATGTTGAGAGGCTTTTTGATGGTGTCATCGGAAGCCAATAGGTGTGCTTTTACGAGCCTTTTATAGTGGCAGCACCTCATTGTGCCGTACAGCAAGAGTTTGAGATGAAACATGGATATTCCGATGGCTGTCGCATCAAGTTTCATCAGTTTGTGATATATCCGAGCTGAAGTGGAAGTTAGACGATCATGGTGGAGATTTGACTAGGGGAGTATCCAACAGGAACACAGCCACTCAATTAGACTCACTGAAGGTCCCCAGACGCGGCCTATTTGAGCATGGTCGATTGAGATACTTCCATGATGCGTCGGAGCGAAAACGAAAGGTCGAGATCTACCAACTTTGCCGGCAGAGAATGTGTGACAGCTTCCGACCCGCGTTCGGATGTAGGAAAAAGCCCATGTCATTAAACACCATATCTATCAAACAAACATACCGATACCCAAACAAGTCAAAAATAAAAACATCCTCACTCTATCTATCCGTGATTGGTGGACGACATCTGGTGTAACAACGCATGTGCGTCCGGGACCACTCCGAGAGCCGCCATCCTGGCTTCTGCGGCTCGCATTTGTATCTCGGCCGTGCTTAGAATGTCCAGGGCCTCTTTCCACTGTCTGGAGTATTCGACATACTCACGTTCAGCTTGAATTTGCTCTTGGGTGCGCTGCGGAGCTGTCTGTGATGTGATATACTGGTGGTTGTGGCCAGAGAGAGGTATAGGACTTGGTGCAGCAACTCTGGGTGCCTGAGTTGGAGCAGGGACATACGTCACTGTGTACGGCGCAGGCTCAGGTACAGGCACAGGCACAGGCACAGGCACAGGCACAGGCACAGGTGTAGGTGCAGGTCTGGTTTCTGGTAAGTACGCCATCGTGTAGGGCGTGGATGTTGGTGGTGGTCGAGTTTTGGGCGAAAAGGCCATCGTGTACGACACTGGGGGAGCTTGTGGCGGAATTTCCGCCTGCTGGAGTCTCCAATTCCCTAAAGCCGGAAGATTTAGCCCCAGAACGACAAGGTATAGAATGTGTCTTACGATATTCCTCCCTTGTTTCTGCAATCTTGCTCCTACAAGCTTCTTTGAGCCTCGGATCTTGTTGTAGCATGGTTGTCTACGTCGTTGCTGGCAACGATAGGTCGCTCATATCTTCACGGACTCGAGACATGATGCAATGTAAGTGATGGCGAAGATGCTGAGAGGAAAAGAAAGCAGCAAGTGTAGATAGCTGTATTTATACATGGCGCTCCAAAAATGACAGCTCATCACTGTTACTTTCATGCAAGTATTTCATTATCTTGAAATGGACAAAAGAAATAACATCAAAGACTCATTCAGTAGCCTTTCTCATGCATCTTCATGAAAAGACCAAGATCACGATTGCCCTTGTATTCTTTTAGAAGTTAAGACAAGGAAAATCACCTTAAAGCTCCTGTTACACAACGCCCAACCCGTTAGCCGCATATGGGAAAGCTCTGTTTTCCTGTTTGCACAGCACTCTTTGTTCGTGTTACGCAGTTACCTGCAGCAACAGGCGGTGACGTGGCTCAGAAGGACATAAACTCTGCTTGCTTGCTCCTCTGATTGCTTACAGGTTCCTTTCGATTACTTGCTTGCTCTTTCGATTGTTTACTTGCTTGCTTTACTACAGCGGTCCTCAAAGATCTCAAAGGCTGGATTGCCCCAAACAGTCCCTCACAACTTGCATTTTCTCCTTCTTGAAGCAAGGCTCAGTTATTTCTGGCGCATTGCTCCACAAACACCATCTCATTCATAGACCAGCTTCTTTTGGATAGCTGCAAGCACCATGGCCGCTTCCGCAATCGTCGCGTCTACCATTCAAGCACTGGGCGAATTGCCTCCCGTCCGTCTAGGTCTTGTCGCAGTCCCCGCCATTTCCCTGAGCGTTTTCGCCGTATACTGTCTTTTATCTGGTGACAATTCCAACCCCTACCTCACAAAGAGAGGTTTCCTCCACCCTTTTGTCACCGCAGAAGTCAAAGCAATCTGTCAGGTCCACTATCGCATCTGGAACGCCGACCCAATCCGCGAGCCCGAAACCTTCTTCGACATTCGCGACCTGGACACTTCCAAGAAGCCCTTTGTTGACAATAACTGGCTGACTGAGGGAGAGACTTCCCACCACGAAGCGCAAAAGATCATCATGGAAAAGTGGGCAGAGCGACGGAACAGATTGAGGGGATGGGGACGCGCCAGTGAGCGAGCACATCATCTCGATCAAGTTGGCAAGATCATGACAAACCCCACCAGCGCTAGGATCTACACGCTCCAGTTCCTTTCCAAGATCAAGCACAAAAGAGGAGACAACCGGCTCGGAGCACTGGAGGAGGTTTGCAAAGGATTCTGGAAAGCACCGCAGTTCAAGAAGAAGAAAGAGCTGTAGTGTGATGTGCTTGTGTTTGCTTATCTCCTGGAGAACAACCTTTGATATCTCAATGAATTGGCGGCTTGGACAATCTGACATGCCATCTTTGTGTGCTCTTACACATGCTCGCTTCCAATGAGGTAGAGCTGCTAGTCGCGCCCTGCCAAACCTGTTATGGACCAATATTGTAGTAGCCTAGTCGGTCTTGCATTGTGGCCAGTCCCAGTTTACTTTCTGCTTCAGCACGACTTTTTACAATCTTTAACGTTAAACTCTTTGTGTACCTACAGACTCGACTCGTTCATGCGCGACACCTAAGTTCTTGAAGAGCACGATTCTATCCTTTCCAAGGTCCCCAAAGCAACCAAGAATATGTGCAAGTTGAACATATATGTTGAAATGAGCTTGTAGGTACTGTCGCCTAGATTGCCTCTTCGTATTTCCAAAGGGAGGAACACCACGCCAAAGCTTTGCAAGAGTCATTGCATGTTGAGAACCATGGCCGCCGCCCTACTGAATACGCAGATCTTCTTTGAGGACCATGCAACACCATTCAACTAGGTCTTACTCGGTGTTCTAGTTGCTCAGGCATGTAATTCTTGGCTTCTGGTTGCAACCGTCCGGCTGTCTCGGATGTTATCCTCATCGTCTAGCTCGCTCTTATCTGCACCAAGGTACCACTAACGTCGGAACTTGTCAGGGATCTGGATAAGTCCACCACGCGACGCTATGTAATCACAATGCGGGGAAGCAAGACGATACCCTCATTCGTCGCACCTACATGCCATAGTCGAGACTGTCTCCATCGTCCTGCTGGAACTGGTTTAACAGCCGGGAAAATTCCCTCGATCAGCGTTGCTTCGATGCACCCACTGTCTTGACAGGCATGTTCAGAGCTTGGACTAAATGAGGATAGGGAGCTGGGTCGCTGCAATCTATTCGCCCGACTCGGTAAGCGTGATCTGCGAAATGTCGGGGTAATGGGCACCAAAGTCAAGAGATGCAATGTAAATGCCACAAAGGGAAGGAAAATGGGCACGCTGATAAGATAGTGTAGCCTCACTCTATCAAAAGACGATACAGCCTTCGACAAGGATATGGGACATAGTTATGACCAGAATGGAAGGAGATGCAGATTGTCGAATTGATAGCTGCTGGATGATAGCTGCTAGGATCTACAGTAGAATTATCTAGGACAATGTCGCGAAGCATAAGTAGTTCAACAAAGTCCTCAAATCATGAATGCTGTTCTTCTGCAGCCTCTCACCTTCCCATCTTTCTTGATCACACCAAGTTATCGTAACTATCAAGATGCGACACTCAACAACTCAACTCCTCTCCCTATCCCTTGGCCTTCTACTGGGCTCAAGTGAAGCAGCATCGATACCACGCAAAGAGACCTGCACCAAAGCCAAAGTTGTAATTCTGGGTGCTGGTGTAGCTGGTATCACAGCTGCCCAAACCTTACACAATGCGTCCATCCACGACTTTATCATCCTTGAGCACAATGACTACATAGGAGGCCGTATGAAACATACCACCTTCGGAAAGTCCTCCGACGGTACGCCTTTCACTGTCGAGCTCGGTGCGAACTGGATCGAAGGTCTACAAAATCCCTCAGGCGAGATCAACCCAATATGGCGTTTCGCTGAGAAGCACAAAGTGAAGAATACGTATTCTAATGATAGTGCGATCATCACTTACGATGAAACTGGAGCTTCCGATTACACTGATCTGATTGACCTCTTTGACGAGAAGTTTGAGATCGCTTCGCAGGATGCTGGCTATATCTTCACCGAGAATCTCCAAGATACATCAACTCGCGCTGGTCTCAGCCTGGCTGGCTGGAAACCAAAGAAGGACATGAAGATGGCTGCTGCTGACTGGTGGGGCTGGGATTTTGAGACGGCTTATTCTCCAGAAGAAAGTGGCTTCGTGTATGGTGTCGCTGGAAACAATGCTACCTTCAAGCATTTCAGCGACGAGACCAATCTTGTCATCGATCAGCGGGGCTACAATGCTTGGCTGGTTGGAGAAGCGAACGAGTTCCTCAAGAAGAACGACCCAAGACTTCGTCTAAAGACTACAGTCAAAAAGATCGAGTACACCACCAAAGGCGTCAAGATCGACACCAACAACGGGTGCGTCGAAGCAGACTACGCCATCTGCACCTTCTCCGTCGGCGTCCTCCAGAATGACGCCGTTGACTTCAAGCCTACACTTCCCCGCTGGAAAAGAGAGGCCATTCAGGTCTTTCAGATGGGTACCTATACGAAGATATTCATGCAGTTTAACGAGACATTTTGGCCCGAGGACACACAGTACTTCCTCTACGCCGACCCAGAGCAACGCGGCTACTACCCATTGTTTCAGTCGCTCAGTACACCGGGCTTTCTGCCAGGATCGAATATTCTGTTTGGCACAGTTGTGCAACAGCAAGCTTACGAAGTTGAGCAACAGTCGGATGAAAAGACCAAGAAGGAAATCATGGAGGTGCTACGCTCTATGTTCCCCGATAAGGATGTTCCCGAGCCCACTGCATTTATGTATCCCCGCTGGAGTATGGAAGAGTGAGTCGCGCCGTCCCTTGCGCTGCGATATTTACTAACTGAGGAACAGGTGGTCGTACGGGTCCTACAGTAACTGGCCTGTCGGTATGACGCTTGAGAAACATCAGAACCTCCGTGCGAATGTAGATCGATTGTGGTTTGCCGGGGAGGCTAATTCTGCCGAATTCTTCGGGTACTTGCATGGCGCTTACTTTGAAGGGCAGGAGATTGCTGAACGAATTACGAGGATATTGAAGGGCGAGGAGTCAGAGCAGTCACAACAGATGAAGAGGTACAAGACGTTACGTGGAACAACAGAATTGGAAGAGCACGACTCTGCCAATGGATGGTCGACTCCTCTCGACGATTAGGGAGATACTGCAAATACAGATAGTCCTTATGAACAGTTGATTCCTGTACCAAGTGGTTCCTTGTACCCGTAAGGTTGCACTCGGCAGGTCTGCCTACAGGAGGCAAGGCAAATAACCCAGGACTAATTTCAACATGTTAAATCATTACGGGAAGCTCCTTGTGTCTGCTTAACATTGCAGCCTTGTTCAGTATATGGCCGATTTTTAGTGGCATAAGGATCTAATTCATTTGTATAAGTGGGAATGCTACGTACGTATTGGAGACTCGATAAGCCATTAAATGCAGCAACTGGCAATCCTATTGTGAGCATTAACCAGGCTTAGAATTCGTTTCAAGATACGAAAATTGACAAAAGTGACATACACAATAAAGGAAAAACACTTCCTAGTGGCGACCCTCCTGGTTGTGGCTTATTTGACCTAAACAATAAAACGCAGCTGCAACCTTCAGCTCAAGATTATCCTCACATATTAGTCTCAGTCAAAACCAGATCTCCTTTAGGGGGCGATATTTCACTATTTCACTCATCAGAATCTATAGCCAACATAAGGGGTAGGAAAATATGATATCCTCCTAGTGATATATCTTTTGTGCTTTCCGGTAGTTCCTGCCGAGAATCTCCCGGCCATCGCCCCAAAAGGTTCGAGTCTAGACAGAGCAAACACCAAGCAGGGAGGCCCCGACCCTCAGAGATACAGCCGAAGCACAAGTCCAACGCACGATAGTATAAACTAGTAGAAGGAGCATTCACAAAAAGCACTCAATCAAACGATAGCCATACGTGGATCAGTTCTTTCTACGTTTGTTGAAAGAGTAGATGGCAACCACCAGCGTGTCACGAACACGCCCACAAGTAAGGACACCCCAACCGATGAGTCTCTTTCTAACTAAGGGCCTTACTCGCTAAAGGTATCATGATTATCGGATCCCCGATCCGAGATTCAAGATGCAAACAAAGCCTAGGAGATCTTGTAGTTCGTTATTATAAGCATAAGGATGAGGTCAAGGTTTTTAAGAACCCCCTCCAGATTCGAAGCGATAAACATAGCCGCTAAGTTCTCTAAACTCCTCAAATGGGTTGAAGAGCCGGCAAACCAAACGGTCAATAAAGAAGAGACTAAATCGTCGATGTACCCTGAGCTGTACAGCCTTATCGCCAAAAGCCTCACTGAAGATGGGCTTGAGTATACCTTCTGCCAGAACGACCAGAAGGTTAGTATTAAGAGAGGGGAAGCTGGTTGTGAACTTGTGATCTCTATGGGCTTTGGGGCTGCACTTGGGGCCTGGCTGGTTTCTTGTCGTCTGCTCTCAGTTGTAGATGTTTCCAAGGTCGCGAAGGAAATCCCGCTTTTCCCTGTTAATATCTACAGCGTGGGGATTTAGTATACGGCTACTTAGGAATAAGTCTTTTGCACTTGAGCATCCTGAGCCATTGATTAACTTTTATCCCCTGCTATCCTACTTGCAGCCGCTGTAAACCGATGAAACTGAACGATCGTAACTGCAGACCGGCAAGGTTTCAGGGAATGCAGAAAGCTTACGCGTCAACGAGCGGTTACTTAAAGTCTGGCGCAGAGTCCTGGCCCTGCTCACAGGCCGCCGGATCCAACGGGGTCCGAGAGGGTGGCCAAGAGCCCTGGTCGTCACGAGAAGTCCCGCTTTCGGGTGGCCGTAGGCCTTGACGCGAGCAGAAGGAATCCGCCGGACCTCGGGGTATCCTATTCGGGGTATCAGAACTGACTTATTCGTGTGAATGATTCCAGTCATCGCCTGAGTATGCATATGACGTCGAAAACCTGGCATGGCATTATCGCTTGGCGTGACACTACTTGTAGGGATGTAATTCCTGGAAAGGCATATCGGTTTTCAGCCCCCTGTTCCCATAGAGTCTCTCAAACTGTCTAAGACCACTGTCATCACAGTAGACCACCCCCAAGGCTCATGAATGAATCTTGGCAGACCCGATCACGCGAATGGGACTCGGGTAGGGTTGCCTCGGCAGGCACCTGAAACGACAGCGACTAACGGAATTCCGAAAAACCACGGCCAGCTCCGGACACCACCCGTGGCGTGACAAATTGTTCCAAGGACTGGATGACATGATGAACCGGACATATTGTAAGAGAATCTGGATCAATCAAGAAGTCGCCTTAGCGAAGAATGTCATTATCATGTGTGGAGACAAATTAGAGTCACTGGGTTTCATCAAGATCAGACAGCCATGCAGCATCCTCTTACTTCTTACCATTACCAAAATGTTTACACCCCACAGAGCAAAGAAAGCACTGTAATCCGCTCTTAGCTATGTAGTCTTTTTCACCTCCGGCTTGGCCTGCTCACATGGTATCTGCCTGGCGTAGTACCAACACGTACCGTTGCAAGGACCCCAAGAAGTCCACTGCTGAAGAGCAGTGATTACAAAAATTTGCAGCCGTGTAGGAAAATGAGTATCACTACTGCAATCATTGAGCGGAATGGTTTTGTGGCACGGGGGCAAAGAGCATCAATAAGTTAAACAACTTATGCCAGGACCAGGGTCAGGATTGGTACTGGAATGGATTGAGCGGCGGGGGATGGTTGGATCAGTCTGGTAGTGTTGGTTTAGATGTTGGAACAAACCATTTCGTAGAATTTTTCAGCTGAGATTTCGATCCACGGTTAATACCTACTTTCGAAATTTCTTCATGGGTCTTATGCTTCAGTTTGACTGCTTTCCAAGATCTAGAGACATTTGGCCTACCGATTCTTCAGGCCCCTCAAAGTTGAGACACAATGTGACAATTCTGGACCAGAATTTTCTTGCGTAGCCCACCTGGGTTAATGCAGGTACAGATCGAAAACGTCCATGACAACCATAAACCGAAGCTTAAATGCAAGCCACCTATTCCTCAATTGGCCAAGCTAATAGACTGCTTTTGTCTTAGATATTCGGGATGTCTCGCATCCATGGCACTAAGCTTGTCAAGTCCTTTGGCTCAGGTTACACACACTTAATGACAGGAACTGATCATCTTCATCATATTCCGCTCTTGCTTGCGGGATGAAGACCGACAACTCTTGGCGGGACATAGTTCTACTTTGGGATCATCGAAGCCATTGAGTCTCAATCGAAGACAATATCAAGGCCATCATCTGACCCAACAGACGAGAGGTCTAGATTTAAACTACCAGCCGCCGACTGGACATAGCTTGCCAGTAGCTTAAGAATTTTTTAAAACAATACGTGGTTGTAGTTTAGATCAAAGTTCGAGATGAGCTCTGAATCAGCTCCTCCGATTAATAGCGGGCGCACGGGATGCTTGGAATGCTATGGCGTTACTTATTGGGTCATACGCGCTCTCTACAAGCCACGATATTCTTTGACTTTCTTGGGCATATGCTAAAGGCCCATAACACATATTTGGCGTCATACCATGGCAATCCTACTACACCTAAGCTGTAGCGTGTGCCGATCGAGACCGTTCTTTGGTGTATCAAGCTTCTCGGCCTTGGACCCCTGGCATAATCCGTTATGACGCTTTCCAACGACAGTGGATAAGCTTGAAATGCTGCGCTCATTTATGTGCCAAGCTGCCTTTACTGTTCTAAGCATGCTCTTCTGCCATCATATTTTACGTTCACGACTGCCCAAATTCTCGTCGACTGAACACAATGATGTTACCGCATCGCGATAAATGGGATGCTCACTACTCAACCATCGACGAAACAGTCTATATTGGTAGAGATGTCTTTGTTGTTGTAAGTTGTACTTGTATGCCCCTCTCGGTACTGGTATGTACTGACACTTGCCAAGGTTGCATCGACGTTATCACTCTACAATGCCATCGAACTACTCACCCTCATTTCTCTTACCTTCAAAAGACGATCGGGACTTTACTTTTGGAGTATTCTCATTGCATCATTCGGAATCATTCCATACTGTCTGGGATGGCTCGTTGTCTACTTCGACCTTACACACGATTATGTTGGCATGATTATTGAGACTGTTGGCTGGGTGCTCGTCATTAGTGGCCAGTCTGTTGTTTTGTATTCGCGACTTCACCTAATTGTCACTGATGTCAAGATTCTGCGAGCCGTTCTCATTATGATCATCATGAATGGTCTCGTTTGGGTAAGCCATACTATTGAGTACCATGATTCCCAACTGATCATGGCCCAGCATACGACGATGACTGTATTGCTCTTTGGATCAGAGTATAGTCCAAGCGACAATAGAAAGGGCTTTAACAATATCTTCAACATCATGGAAAAGATCTCCATGTCCATATTCTACCTGCAAGAACTCATCATCTCTGGTCTGTATATCTGGAAGTCAATGGAGATCCTTAAGACAGCTTTCGGCAACACAAAAAGCATGCTATACAAGCTTTTCACGATCAACTTCGTCATCATTCTCATGGATATCGCTCTTCTGGCTATAGAGTTCCATGACCTTTATATCTGGGAGCAAGGCATTAAGCTGGTCACCTACTCGGTCAAACTCAAGCTGGAATTCGCCGTTCTTAGTGAACTGATTGAGTTCGTTCGCAATCGCAGCGGAACCCGATCGCGACCGACAAAAGCCTCCGAGAACCAGAGTACTCTCGTGCCATTGTCGTCTATGCATAAGGGAAATATCAAAGGAACTACGTCAAGTACGAGAGACTTTATCCACGCTGGTGATTCTAGGACAAACACAACTATTGCGGCTACCAATCCCATACCAGCGGTTCCAACGAATGACAGTATACACGTCTTGAGAGAGGTTGACGTGGAGAGTTTGTCTGCTTACCCGGGGAACAACCCAAGTACAGATGAGTTATGGGGTCGCCTACCTGAAGAACACGGGAAGGGCATGGTTGGAAGGGCATTATAAAACTACAGATAGCCTTTCTCATATACTCCATTACCATCAATATCAGCGAGACTCTGCCCGTTTCTCATGTAGAAGCCCTGCGTCCCGCTGATCATAAGCTCATATCTCGATATCTTCCGCCTATGATCTTACCAATAATAGGTTGAGGGTTGATACAGTTCCTCGCTTACTGATGATACACAGCTCCAGTCATTTCTTTCTCGGAAAGGCCTGTAGATACTGGATGAATCATCACGTCAGATTGGGGCACCTTGCACGACCTCAAATAATCCTGTCTCCTCACTCTGAAACTTGTCACACCTTGCTTGTTATAACCCCTCAACAGAATTTTCGTTCCCATTCAAACTCATCCAACTCTCTTCACTTACCATGGAACCTATTTCACTGGTATTTGAGATCACCTCCCTCTCTATGCAGCTAGTGGCGATGGTGAAGACCATCAAAGGACTGGTTACCGCCTACAAATCAGCCGCACAGGAACTAGAGGAACTATGTGTCGAACTTGACGATATTGAGACCACCTGCGATTGTCTGGGGGCAGCTTTATCGCAAGCTAACAGTTCGATTCCAGCACCTGAACTATTACCCTTGCTCAGCAGGCTGAAGAGCTGTATTCAAGACTGCTACGACAAAGTATCGTATCAAAGGTCAACCAGGTCATAGAGAAGATTTCTGCGAAGCTCGATTCAAATCGCAACCCTTTCAAAACCATTGGCGGTTTGTTCCTGCTGTACAGACCTCAGCATGCAACGTATGTCGGTAGTCTGGAAAGATCACGCTCATCACTCGATGGTATCATCACCACAATATCATTGTAAGTTGGAGATTGCTGTAAACAGCGTACATGTTTAAGGGCTGACAGCTCAGCTTTCTTCTCTGGAAAGGCTCTCAATCGTCTACTAGATCGATCCCTGTCAATCAGTCGCTGCCTCGGACAGGTCACTTCCCTGTCACCCCAGAGTTTAATGCAACGAACCACTCTGGGCCTCCTCGAGAGAAATATAAAGTACACATCAAAAGATCGAGACGTCAATGCTCAAGTTTGTTGTTCCTTCAAAAGACGCAGAAATCGAGAATACAGGACTTCAGTGCTTCAAATGTCCAGTCTTTGGCCAATACACAGGAAAGCTCGACTTTCACCTTTGGATCATTATTGTTGAACACATACATACAATTATCAATAATGAGAGGGTCTCTCGCACCCTTTTCTGTTCGGTTGCAGATCCCACGGGTGCTCCTGGTCTCCGAAGATGCCACCGGTGTAGGTGAAAGTGTCCGGAATGCATTCGAATCTGATGATTTGCAAGCGACTCAGGATCTGCTCCGCCAAGGGCTTCTTACGACCTCCACAATAGTCACGTATACCGAATACGATCCCGAAAATGAAGCATCGTTATTGGGCGTAGGTTTTCTTCCGACTTGGTTGCTTAGGTGCACTAACTTTGTTTTAGCTTGCAATGTCGCTTCAATCGCGGAAGATTCTCAACTTCTTAAAGGATCAAATGGATCTCAGTGAGCCAAGGTACATTCGATTTAATCTCAATATAATGCTTAGTGCTAAGGATGGCAGAAACCATGCAGCTTGTTTCTCCTTTCCATACCAACACCCTAGTTCAGAGGAAGACTTTGCCTGTATTCTCAAATACATTCATATCCGCAAAGAATTGATTACTCCAGCAGAATTCAGCATCTTACTCCGGACCCATGAAGCATGTCGTATTACTGCGTATGTTGAAGCTTGTCGACAGTATTTTCCTTACGACTGGGACCGCTTTGATGATGTCATTCTGAGCGAGTTGAGCTTTGGTTTTAGCCAACTTTCCGCCCGTCAGATGTCAAATGCTCAGTTGGGGGACTGGGCACCCTTATTCACAGACATCGTGGCACGCAGCCAAGACTTAGTTACCAACACCGAGCACCGCCAGTTCACAGCAACCATATATTTTATTATATGGTATGCCTTTGGCCCCGATGATGCTTGGTATCGCGTTTGCCGCTGAGTCGATATGCTGGAGCTAGCAAAGGTCGACATAACTAGATATCTGAAGCTTGCCATCGAATCTTGCTATGATTACTGGGTGGAAACTAAGGCACGGGGCTTCTGCAAATTTGAAGATTCGGCTGTGCGCCGCAAACTCCTCTTGGGACATTACAAGGGACGAGAGATCCCATATTGGATCGAATACGTTGACAACTCGTGCCCAATACGCGAACTTTTGACAGAATTCCCAGCACTGCGATACATGGACAAGGAAATCCGAAGGACTTACTGGCATGAACGCACAAAGGTATACAAATAATGGAACAGTGGAAAAAGCCTGGATGCATCACACGTTTCGATGCTGTATTGGCCAGTCATACCTCCTCTCAATCGGTACAGCTCCATGGATGGTGACAGGAATAACAGAACATACCTAGCAGATTGGGCTGATCGCGATTGCGAGTTGCAGGAGTGTCGCTTTGAACGAAGAGAGCACCGTAGGCTTCAAAAGCTTCACGGTAAACGAAACGGTCGGCAGAGAATTCCAGGAGCATGGGTGGATTGAAAAGAGATTTTGGAGATTATTCATTTGTTTATGGTCAGCTCTAGCTTCTCAGATTAATACAAATAATCATTGCTTTGGTGAGACTCCATGGTCAGGTGGTTTGCTCATCAAGAACCCCTCCTTTTATGCAGGCGGCTGCGAGAGCAGGCGAATCAGAACACAACCTGGAAGACAAGTTGGCGATGAGAAAACATCCATCGAATGAGATCGCGATGCTGTGCACAGCCCCTCCAAGGCATTCTGCGCAGCCCGATTTCCCTATTTACCATCATCAAAGACATGCCACTCATCCTCCTCTTACAAGTTCTTCACATTAATACAATTCCAACACATCATGGACCCTGCCTCTCTTAGCTTCGGGATTGTATCCCTAGCGATGCAGCTAGTGCAGACAGCAAAGGCCGTCAAGGAATACATCGCAGCCTACAAGTCAGCGTCGCAAGAGCTCGAAAATCTCGCCGACAAGCTTGACGATATCGAGACTATTTGCTGCTCTTTGGAAATTGTTCTTTCGGATGGAACACAAAGCTTCAGCACGCTAGAAGTCAATCTGCTCAAGAAGTTGAATCGTATTATTCAGCAATGTCTATCTAAAGTCTCCGATATTCATAGCATTCTCGATACAATCTCAAGAATGCAGAAGAATACCCGCAATCCCTTAAAGACTACTGGAGCCCTATTTCTGCGCTATAAGGACCAGATCCGTCTTGCCACGAATGGACTGGACCGTTGCCTTTCCTCGCTTCAGCTGCATATGACGGCAAATATCCTGTAGAGTACACCCAGCCCGTGACCTGCAAACTTCCTTCTAATCCTCCAGGGCCGTGACTATGACGTCCCAAAAGGCTGTCAGAGGCCCTTTGCCAACCGCAACTACTTCGAATTCAACCCTCAGAGATCTACGAAAGGCACCAAGTATCAGAAGAAACCTCGGGCAATGCGACAAGCATCAAGCGCGTCGAAAAAGCCCAGAAACTGTCGTTGATACATGGAGACAAGCCTGGAACACAAAGGCGTTTGTGCAATGGACAAGAAAGACAACGAAGGAAGAAGTCTCGGTCAACACAAACTCGTCAATAATTCAGGATGATTCTATTTTCACGATAGGCTCTTCATTGCTGAGCCTCTACGTGCAACTATCGCTGCGACGTGGCAACCTCGCCCCGTTCTGTATCACTCTGCAGATACCACGAGTTATTTATATCCAGGAAGGCCAGTGCCAGATTGGCGAGAAAGTTGAATCCGCTTTTATGGATGATAACTTGAGTCAAATCAAGACATATTTTACTCAAGGTATTCTGACGCCTGCAACAGTCATTGCTTGGGATGAATATGACCCTGATAATGAAACTTCTCTTCTTGGTGTAAGTCATAAAGCATTATCTACTCAGTTCTCTAACGCTACGGCAGTTGGCGGCTTTGACAAAGTCACAGTCAATTCTCAAGTTTCTCGCAAACCAAACCTCTGATCTATCGAGCAGGTACGGTTAGCCATAGACAGATACGGACGGATATGCTAACGTTTTAGAAACCATATTGGCGGTGCAAGATATCTGTACGTTTTTAATGGCGAAGATGGTCCCAGATGCGTGCTGGAATACATCAAGATACGGCAAGACTCCATTTTAGCATCCGAGTTCCACATGATTCTGCGAGGTATTGTAGATCCCTACAATGCGCAAATATGCGTAGAAGCATGCAAGCCTCATTTCTCAAGTAACATGGTGGCTTTCAATACTGCGGTCTGGAGATACGCCATGAAACAGTTCAGGCACGACTCAACAGGAAGCATCGAGGGATGGGCAGGCCTTGTTGCAGACTGTGTCTCCAGAGGGTTGGACATCCACCAACAGCTTCGATGTGACACTGACTTCAGTGCCTTGAAAGATATCCTGTTCTACAATTGGGACAAGGGCGAGATACTGGATTATATGCATCTCTGGATAGACATTTTGGAGGAAGCTGGCATCAGCATCAAGGAATACCTCATGGTCGAGACGGAGTGCTGTTTCGCGACGTGGCGTGACACGCCATATTGGATAAACAAGAAAGTTGGTTCCTCGAACTACAGACGCGTATTATTCATCAAGGAGTCGAGAGGCAGACAATTTCCATTCTGGGCCCTTTCAATCCAGGATGAATGCCCAGTTAAGGAGCTGTTAACTGAACATGAACACTTTGTGACACCGCTCACAATGTACCCAGGAGGCTCGACACAAGCATTAATTGCGCAGCATGAAGCTTGGAAGAAATATCAGACCTTGAGTCTTTCGGACGGATCTGATAGATGTCTGAAGCGGTGGCCTTTCTGGCTTCCTCTTCGTCATTATAACGATTATAGTGAGGAAGAGGCAGAATGGGTGGATCGGGAATTGCAAGTGGCCAGAAAGCGATTTGACAGAAAGCAGAAGCGTAAGGAATCGAAGGTCGATAAGAAACAGAGCATGTCAATACCGGGAGCTTGGGTTGAGGATGTTCGAGTTTAAACATATGATCGAAATTGAAACTTTCGCAAATTTCCTCTCGACCGCAATGTGTGTGTCGCAAGACATTTCCCGATCGATGTTCGACGAATCTAAAGACAGTAGTATACAACTCAATTTCCGTTTCTTAGGAGTTTGTAGAATATTGTTATCCACAAAAGTGTGATAATGCAAGCACCTTTTAGACGTCAAAGAGTTGAATCCTTGCATCAGGGTAAGAGAATAATATAGTCAAAGAACAGTCCAAGTTTATCCTCAAATAACCTCAGATACCCTACACCATTCCGACTACTGCAGGGATGCAGCTGATCATGTACCCACGTATTGGGAGGCAGGATTGTGATTGGCAGCCGACGACGCGTCTCGTGGCTAGCGGCGCTGACGTCGTCATCCTTGACACCAGAAATCTCATCCATGTCCAATCGACTGCATCCCCTAAACCCGAAATGTCCTTTCAGCGGCCCAAAGAATGGCCACAAAACGTGTCCTTCGAGGCAGCCACACACCAGAAGATGAACCCAGCATCATCTCGTCACTCCTACAGATACAAAAATGCAGGATCCCGCAGCAAAAGATGATATGGATCGTCGAGAACCTCGAATGTCTCGGCCGACGACAATCCAAAAAGAGAAAGCTTACTCGAGATGAGAATGAAGAGTCCGAGACACCTTATTGGTTCAGAAAAATTGTCAATGGATTCACAGACAGTAATTTTGTTGCGCTTTCGTACACCTGGGACGCTTCCGAGCATGAGACGCAGAATCTCAAGGCAGACGGCCACAAAATCGAGACAAGGGATGGGCAAGAAGCTTGGCGCTCCTCAGTACGAAATTCGGTGCTTGAACGGATCACCAAGTACATGCAGTGTCATGACGTACCGCTTCTGTGGATTGATCGACATAGTATCCCGCAGAAGAAATGCAAGCAGCCAGCATGCACGCATACTGAGTGCCGACAAAAGAGACACGCTCTCGATGCAATGGATCGCGTTTACTCGCTAAGCGATCATCCTGTCGCGCTACTCGGCCGCCCGATCCAAGATGAGGATGAGATGAGGACCCTCTCTTCGATAATAAAAGGTGCCCTTGTCAAGTACCACGAGGGCGGGTTCGCGCTGTCTAAGAACGCAGAGTATAGTCAAGCTCGTAAGATGCTATGCCTGATATACGAAATCACTCGCGACAAATGGTGGACGAGAGCGTGGACGTTCCAAGAGAACTACAGAGCTGGTCTCAAGATGACCGTCCTGATCCATCACAGCGCCGATTTCGAAGACACAAAACGGTTGATACTCAGCGGCAAGAAACCGATGTTTGGTGTAGTACCGGGCGAGTTGAGTGTCCAGTCTGCTAGGTTCTCAGAAAGCGCTACTAAATTTTGTCTTGGTTTTCGCCGACATCACTTTGTGACGAGTGAGGATGACGAAATGATTGATCACATACTGGCTACGGCTGGCAAGTACACCATATTGCTGTCACCTTCAAGCTCCATGTCTGGAACGATTGTTTCAGATGTTCGAAAACGAGGCGTCACTGAGCCATGGGATTGTCTGGCCATCATCGCCAACTGCTGCCAATACGCGACACGTCTCAACAGTACGCGGCTTCAAGACAGCGGTGTGAACTTAGACCTCGCGATACTGGCCCTTCGTCTTGTAAATGGCGAGATACTCAAGAATGATGAGCCACCTGTGTCACAACATGAGCCAATGGTTGAGCAGATCAATGGCCTTTTCTTTGACGACTTTAGAGCTCCCGAGGGTGCTAAAAGGTTGACTTTCAACAAGAGCTGTCGCTTCGTTGATGTCAACTTCACCAGAACTGGTATAGTTACAAGAGGCCATCTCTGGAAGCTAGACGATACTCTTCGAGCGCCGCGGTCATCGCCACGCTTATCACAGGCAGTTCAGAAAGGTGAACAGCAATTATCAGATTACGAGCGCACACGGCTGAGACAGCTAGTCGAGCTTGTCAAGGCAAAGAAAGGACGCAAAGACGCGGAGATAGTGGATGACATGAAGGACTTCCTTGATGAAGATGCCTTTGTTGTAAATGAGGATAAGTCTTTCAGCCTGCGGTATCGAAGGCTCATGGCGAAGGAGGTCGTCAGAGCCATGGACGCAGATCAACCTTTAACACTGGGCTACATATGCGACCCATCTGGAGAGGCTACAACAGCCCGCGCGGTATTCATCCGCAATCGAAATCTCGATGAGTCAGATGAACTGTTTAGTCAACATGAGGATGATCTCACACATGTCTTCACCTCGCT